ATTATTGTTATCGCACAACTAACTGCCAAAAATCTTATGACTTTAGGAGTCAACTCACAAATATTATACTTACTTTATATACCTTTCCATTTTTACTTTAATTTTTTAAAATTTAAATTCTAAAAAATTTAGATCCAAGCGCATTAGAAATTTGTCACTTATGCAAAATATTTTAAAATCTTGATCTCATTGAAACACGAGATGATTTCTACATACACTTAAATTAATTATTAATTATTAATTATGTAATCACTGCCTGCAAGTATTTAAAGTGTTGCTAAAATTTTTCGTAATTATCAATATTACTAAAGAACTTCTTAGTTTCATTAATCCAATGGCATTGCTAATTATTTTCAAAATTTAAATTTTTTTTTGACATACCAATTTTTTTCTCACAAAAATCTAGTTTGGTTTTATAGCTAGTGCGTTTTCAAACTCGAACTTCATTATAATGTGAAAACATAGCATATATTTTGTGAGTTTTTCCTTAAAAATTTTTACTTTTTCAAAACAAAAGTTTAAGAAACTTTAAAAAAAATATTCTAATGTCTTAAATACTCTTTATTCATGAATATGTATGAATGTCATATACATGTTCATAAGTATATTTGGAGCACGCGTAACAGTGTATATATACGTATGCGTGTATATGTATGCTCAATTATAAAATTACATATGTACTTATTTAATAACACAAAATAGTAAAAGAAAGAACATTATGACTTTTATGAACTTTTCTTTAACTTTCTAAGTACATAGTTAGTAAATTAAAAAACAAAAAAAAAACAGGAAAAAAAAAGAATATTATACTTACCACTCAGCAAACGATTTTGGTTTCATCATTTTTAATATCTAAAATGAGTGAACAGAAAAAGTTTTCGCATGCAAAGATTTTCTCATGCATACATTCAACATGCTAAAACATCTGATAAAAACAACTTAATATGTAAAAAAAACAAAAAAAAATATTAAATTTTGGAATTTTCTTTCAACTGAAAATTATTACTTTTCTTACAAGCTAATTTCTATAAGGTTTTTTGTATACGTTATCAATTTAAACGATAAACTATTAAAATTAAATATCACCGAATCTAAGTATAATATATGAAAGTCTGAAACGATAATTAAATGCGTATGTAAATATGTACATAAAAATTGACAATAATAAAAAACAAATTCGCTACAATATTTATAATTGAACCGGGACGAGACTAGATGAAGGATTAAAAATTCATTTCAGAAGTTTAAATAAGCTCCTTATAGACTAAACAATCTTACGGTTGACTAAGCAATCTGTCGGCTAAGTTTTTGTGAGCAGATCATCAAAATAGCCCTAATTGAGTTTACTTTTGCAAATTTGTAATATTTTTCTTACATTCGACATTTTTCTATTTTAATGATGTTTCCCTAACAAAAATAATTTTTTTTACAGCAGTATTTAAAAAAAATCTGCTAAAATTATTTAGAATTTTAAACAACTATTGTTTTCGAATGGGCTTCTTTTGTTGCAGAGATTTATCGAACATGCCACATTTTTAAATTTTTATCTCATGAATTTTCTTTGTATTAAGAACTAAATTGCCATTTTAGTAGTCTAACTTAGTTATAAAAAAACCCCCTGTACCAATCACACGTCAACCATAATATTATGAAAACATTTAATAAATTAATTATGACATGATGTTTAAGAATCGTCTATCTAACATTTTTTACCCATTTTATAAAATATGACAATTTACAAAAGGAACGAAATGGCATTCCATTTTGGTATTTTTAATTTTCCAAATTTACAAAACTATTTAATCAAATTTCTTTAGATCTTTTCATTTAATCAATTCTCTCTGTATCTCAATATTTTCAAATCAAATTTCATTTTTTTGATTTTGTTAAATCTTTTCTTTTGTAATATTTTTTTGTTTCGAAATTTCTACTGTTGAAGAAAACAATAAAACACGTTTTACTCGAATACAAACATACTATATATATAACAATGTACATACATACATATATGCTTACTTGGATTATATTTTTACTAAAATTTTATATTCATACATATTAATTTTAACAATAAATCTAAACACGTTCAAAGATTTATTCTACATTATATATATATAAGAATATATGTATGTATATGTATATTTCCTAAATGAAAATGAAATATATAAATAAAGGAAAACAAAAATCTTTATCCCTTCAAATTTTCTATATAAAAAAAATTCATCTTTTATTTATTCTTTATAAAATTAATCAATTTTAGTTAATAATAGTGAACAAATTGAGTCACGCAAAAGAGACATTATTAAAGATTTTCACTTATAAACTCTATATAACACATAATATATATTATATATATACTAGATTACTAGACGACAATATACATAACATTTCACATGACATTTCATTTTTTTCTATTAACCTATCATGGATGTCAGTTGTTTCTCCCAATTCGCCCCTAAAAAGAAATTTATTAAAGAAAAAAGAAGAAAAAAAAATAAATAAATTTGAAAAAAACACAAAAAAAAATATATGAAAACTTATATATAAATGGTTTTCTTCTATTCTTGCTCTCTACACAATATCCATCAAGTGTTCACACTTAGAATAGAAAGAAAATCGGATACTTGATGACTCTTGTAACACGTCACATCAAAAATCCCAAACACATTTCCCCGTATTTTTTGTTTTCTTTTTTTCTATTTTCATTTTATTCTTGAAGTTCAATTCTTCATCTCATACACTATAAATGTTTTATACGTCACACACACACACATTCACACACGCCATTACAAAAAATTTTTAATTCGAATATAAAAATATACACTTGGTATGGCGGCATGAATGGAAAAGAAAAACAAAATAGAAAATCAAAAGGAAAATAAATGAAAAATTATTTTCAATCTTAAAATCGGAAAACACCAACGGATTTTGATTATACTATAATGTAGTGTAAGTTTACCAAAAAAAGTTTTTACTAACACTTACTAAATTTCTAAAGAAGATTTATAAATATTTTATGTATGTATGTGTGTTTGTGTATAAAATTATGAAAATCTTAAATTCGCAAGATACTTGTAACATCTCTATATATTCTTATATCCTATTTCATTTCGTCAAAGTGAAAAGGAATAAAAAAACAAAAAAGAAATCAAAATAATACAAGAAGAGAAAAGAAGGCTTTTATGGTTCTCAAGTTGATTTATTAGTTCTTCACTGGAATGAAAAATAAATAGGGAAAAAGTATAAAAGAAACAAAAAATAAAGAATCCCTTAAAATTATCTTGGGTGTCCGGTCGGACATGTAAAATAGTTTCACTTTTTGCACGTAATTTTGTTTTTTTCTCCCTCTCTATTGTTTATAAAAACTAATATAAAAATTTCAGAAATTAATACATAGAAAACAAGATATAAAATAACAGAGTGTGTCCAAAAATTAACGTAAAATTCAAGATTTCGGAATGAAATATTTTGATAAGAATATCTGAAATTACCATTAGCAATAATAGATTCTAATCTATCAGAAGAAGTAGATTACTATAAACAAAATTACAGATCGAAAGTCTGAAGATATATATAGTTTACGTTTTGTCCTTTGATTTTATTCTTCCCACTTCTTTTGAAAAATAATTTTTAAATACATACATGTATATATAAAATTCCAAAAAACTTACTGAAAGTCACTTTAAACTTGATAATTTAAGAGTAAATTTATGTAAATTATTAAATTTTAATTTAATATTGAGACACTCTATACGTTATGTAAATTTTTGTTGTTTCTAATTTTATTAATGGATTCAGCAAAAATAATAAATCGATTATAACCCGATTTAAATCAAATATACGATATATTTAAATGTTTTTCTAAAAAAAGTATTCAATGTTTATTTGAAATGTTAAAAAAATGTTCGTCAAATTCTGTGGCCTGAGAATAAAATGTTTTCCTATTATTAATGGATTTGTCTTATTTATAAACACAGTGCATTAATATATACATTCGAATTTTCTATAATATATCCAACTTAATGCTCATCTTTAAAATGGCTTAAATCAAAATCGAATTAATAGTTTAAATTAAGGAAGTTACATTCAGATATTGAAACTCTTTTTAAATTTTTTTGCTAGAACACTGATAGTCAGAACACAGTTTACATCGTATTAAAAAAAACCATCTAAAAATTAAAAACGGGCAAAACAGGGTATAAGACGAAAAGTACATTGGTTTAAAGTATATACGTTGGTGGTTTTCGTTTATTCAGTTCTAGAATAGTTCTAGCTTGTAGTAAGTTCAAAAATTCACGATACATACACTGAAAATACAGATCGTTCGGAAATTACTGGCTGCAATAAAGTGCGTTCGGAAATTCAATGTGCAATAAAGAAATGTTAGAAATGTAGCGCAGACCTCTAGCATAAATTTTGTCGCTGCCTCATGAATTTTTTTTTTTGTTTAAATTTAAAAATCAAAAAAAATTTAAATTTTAAAATGGCAAATTCAGATATTGAAGGGTGTTAAAGTAAGTTTTCTTCAAGTCTTCAAATCTCGTTAAAATTTCCTGATTTTGCAGGGAATTGGAAGCGAAAAGTATTGGGATATAATTTCATAAACGATGTCACTTATGTTAATTTCGAACGACAGATTATTTAGAAATTTCAGAATTTGTAGACTGCGTAAACAAAAAAACTTATCACGATTCATTGCGACATAATGAGACCTAATGAGAAAATTTAACAAAACGTGTACATAAATGTATCAAATATAATCAAACTAATATTAAAAAATTTAACTTAAAATAACATTTCTATCGAATAGAAAAAAATAGAACATTTTTTGTACATATATAATAGTCGCTTAACACACATAATTACAAATTGGAAATTAATAAATGCAATATTACATAAAAATTTATAAAATAAAATAAATTTTTCCTATTGAAATTAAATTTTAATTAAAATTTTATTTCAAAAAAAAAATTTATGGTTTCATGAAATTTGTGTAATAATCTATTTCAAAATAACATAAAAATCACGTACGACAGAATAATATTATATTTTTAACATTTAAAATTAAAATAATAATTATGATTACATCTAAAGCAGTTAATACACTTTTGATACAATTTGAGGTAGGTACCTAAATAAACTTGAAATTAAATTAAAATTACAAAAAATATTTTATGCCCATTCAACTTTTTTATCCAGACTATCATCATACATTACGTGTCTTGTTTCATACGGATGAATTATTTCCCATTCATTTAATAATATAAATAATATATAAAATAAATATAGTAATATGAAATAAACTCCCATTGATCTTCGTAAATTAAATTTTGTTAAAGACATTGCAAACAAAATCATTATTATAGAGTTAAATAAAAAAATTATAGATGTTTCACCATACCCTGTTAACTGCAACTAAAATTATAAGGTTTATTATTGTTACATACATTTTGTGTACTGTACACTTATGAAATAATTTCTGTTTTATTATTGCTTACTATTAAAGAACTGCAAGAATTCATAAAACATTTTATAGTTGTAACTGATCCTAAAATTACAGTGACGTCTATAATAATAAAAATATTAAATGTCAAATAAATAAGATCAATTAAAAACTAGAAAAAATAGATACCCGTACGAATTTATTATCCTATGTTCAAATAAATATGTCATACCTGCCTATAGAACAGACTATCACTTTAAGTTGCCATATTAACATTTTAATTTATGCAAAATTTCAGTTTTTTTTTCAATATTTTCTAAGATATGGCCAAACTACTGTTGAAGTTGTATGACAGCTACTAGAGGGAGCCAAGCAATTTATTAATGACGACTTTTATCAAACACATTGGCCCTTCTGATATATTTACTTGTGTGAAATTTCAATATCACAGCTTTTATAGTTTCTGAGATGTAGACAAATAAATTTTGAAGTTGTATGGCAGCTACCCCTACCGGTACCCTGATCATGTCCAATTCAAATAGAGTTCTGGCACTTACTGCAATAAATCATTTATGAAAATTTGGTGAACTTAGCTCAATTAGTTTTTGAGTTATCGCTGGGTTGGACTGACGGACGGACGGACAAACAAAGCTTAATCGACTCAGAATTCGACGCTTAACATACACTCGAGTCTATATCTCAGACCGTTAAACAAAGACAAATTAGTATACCCTTCGCACATACGTTCGTACCGGTATAAAAACCCTAAAAATATACTATTATAAAATATTAATAATGTCTAATTTCCAAAAAGAATTAATTTTAATTAAAATGTAATTAATTAAATTAAATTAAAATTTAATTTTAATTAAAATTTAATTTTAATTAAAATGTAATAAAGTGAATTTGATAACTTACAAAATGTTCCAGATGCAAAATATGATCCGAAAGTCAAATATTTATAACCTTGTTTCACTAACAAAATATTCGTAAGCACATCTGCAAGAGCAAAATTCAAAATGCCAATTGTTTTTTTTGTAGAAATAAAAGTCATATATAACTTATATACTTGTTAATGTGCCAGTAAAAGCAACAATTGTTAAACCACTTGTTGTTCTCGAAAATCCTGATATATTTGAGAAAAGTAAAAATAATCCAAAAATTTCACATGTTATCAAATAAATTATAAAAATTGAACCGAATAATCCATAAAACGCAAAAATCTATGAAAAATAAATTTTTAGTTCACAATAATATTATGTTATTTAATTTTTTCAATAAATTTTACAAAATTTTTCGCACCACATTATATTTTGGTGGTTTTGAAATTTCACTAGTGAATATAACAACAATTGCCAACATCAATCCAACTAGTTGAATCGCAATTCCAATATATAAATTCAATACTATATGCATTAAAGCTGGTATTGTTACTAAAGTAATAATATTAGCAAGTTTACACCATCCATTCAACTGTAACTTCTTATCAACAATAGGTATAAATATAGCAACTATTATTTGAAATGGTAACTAAAATTAAAAAAAATTAAATTCAAAAGTAATTTCCAAACATCCATCAACTTTCACTGCATATTGTACAAAACTTGAATTAATACCATAATTTTCTTAGAAAAACCTTTTGGTTTAGTGTCAGAGGAAACATTTTTTTTCAGATTTAAATATTCATAAAATTGTATTAACATAACCCGGAGCTTCTTCCTAATACATGTATTCTCTTCTATAGTTTTGATATTTGAGTTAAATTTTTCTTCATACTGAAAAATAATTGGTTGTATGGACTTGTCATTGATGTATTTAGTTGCTGTTTAAGTAAAAATTTAATAGATTTATAAAAAAAAAAATATTTTAGTAAAGTTGACTTACAATTTCGTAATTTCCGAATTATAAATTTCTCGTCAATTATGACTACAAAAATATAACAACTCAACATAAATATGAAAAATAACGACCAATAATTAGAATATGTGAAATTTTTTGTGGAAATCCAATAAATTAGAAAATAAATTAAAAAGAATAATAAATCTCTTGAAACGAAATATGAGTTAATTACACATGGCACGGTCAGTATTAAAATTCCAACTTGAAATATTGTTAAATAAATTGTAGCACCATAAATTTCATTTACAATTAAAACAATATTAAGTTCTTTGGATGCAATTAAATAGTTATAAATGTGTATTATCATTGTTGGTAATGCATTTAAAGTGGATAGTATTAATGATCCAGAATTGTATTGAGAAACACCAATTAATTCAACAATTGTTAATAAATTTGTGATATACCTGTAAAAAAAAAGTGTTAAATTTTATTCCATTTGATATAATTGATTTTTTTTAACTATATTTAATTAAGGCAATTATAAAAATTATAATTTTTTAAAATTTCGAAATCGATAAGTAGTACAAAAAGAATAAAATGAGCACATTGTCAATATTTTAGTCTTCATTAAATGAACATGAGGCCAAAATGTAAAAATATCTCAAAATTTAAAACTTAAAATAAATTATAAACATAATCCAAGAAAATGTTCCGTAATGTCCAAATTTTTTTACAACATTAAATTTCTCATGATGTCATCAGGATTAAAGTATATATTTTTTAGTAAATTTCATCTTCTTACCACATTAAAAAAAAAACTTACCTTGTATAAATCACTGTTAACAGAAGTGAGATCAAAAACAGCAATGAAATTATAATAAAAACCCAAAGAATTTCTTTAAGTACAAAAAAATTTTGTGATTTACAAAATACAAAATTGGCATAATTAATTAAACCATGGAATTCATTACACGTGTAGGTTATCTTAACAAATTCACATATTTCACTTACTTTCTTTAAAAATATAATTTGATTACAGGATATCTGAAACGTCAAGAAATAATTTGAAATGTAAAAATGCATAACTTTTTACAAATGTTAAAATTGTACTTTATCAATATCTGTTATATAACGCTTATGTGCTTCATAATGTGGCATTTGAGAATAGGTTCCGTTCATTATTTGAATTATTACAAAAATTTTATTTTTATTTATTTTGTTTCAATTCTAACATACATACAATTCCTACAAGAATTTGTTTGACAATAAAGGAAATAAATGGAAAATCATGTTTTAAAAACATACTCAAAGCTTACTTTTCTCACAATTTGTGGGTTTTCCTTGAATACATAGAAAAATCCTTTTTAACATAAAAAAAATAATATTGCTAAAATTTTCACCTTCTCTGACTTCATTTTAGATCAAATTTCCGTCACTACATTCTCTGATTTTAGTTGCATTTCAACATTCTGCAATTTTATATTTTACCTTCTTTGTTATTTTTTAAGCGTAAGTTTTTTAAAATCCCGTATTTATCTTTAAAAAATAATAATTACTTTGTCACAAAAATTATTAAAAATTTTTATTCAAAATCACTTGAATTTAAACTTGCAATAACGCAAGTCTAAAGTATTTTGAAAATTAATTGAAAAGAAATTATTTTGCATAACTTTTGGCGAATATAAATCATTAATTCTATTATACCTACATATTATACTGCAACTCAATGCTCAAATTTTTTCACTTAATTGGAAAAAATTCAACAAAACTCTCAAACTTGAATAACTAAATTTTAATTTTACGACGGAGATTTTGTAATATTAGAATTCCATGATTTAAAATTAAAAAATTTTGATTTCGTTTTAATATTAGGTTTTTACCAAATCTCATTGCAATTGAAAAAAATTTATAATAATTTCAAAGAAACTCAAATATTTTAAAATTTTTTAAAAATTTTTTTTATATATTTTTATTTTATTTCAGCTATAAACTTCAACAAAAGAAAATTTTACAATTTACAAACACAACAAAATTAAAATATGGAAGTATCATCAATATCAGATAGAGAATTCTATAAGAAATGTGGTTGTGGAAATAGAAAGGATTTGGTAAAAATGATTTTTCTTGAAAATTTAATTAGATTTTTTTTTTAATTATTTCCGTTTCAGGCAAATTTTCGAATTGTTCCGCCATTTTCATATCAATCAATACAAAAAGCAACTATTGTTTATCCACCCCCGAAGTATGAATTTTCAATTTTCTTTACACTCCTTAAAAATAATCTACTCTTAAAAATTATAATTTTAAAAAAATTACTGATAAAAAATACCGTGTTGAAAATTATTAATGATTTACTAAAAAAATTTAAAAAGATTTTTTATTCGTTATTATTATTTAATTATGGTTGCTCACCAATAAAATTAAATTTGCTTTTTAAATTTGTTTTTGCCATTTTTTAGGAGCTATCCAAAACGTAAAAAACCAACCCGAACAACATTATTTAGATTTTATTTTAAACGTGGAGACGTTCCATTATGCTCTTCAATATTATTATCAACATCAAAATATCCAAATGGAAAAAGACTTCCCGTTCAATGGTTCTGTGATCCAAATAAATTGGATTATTTCTACTACTTACCAATTTTAATGGATGGGTAATATTTTTCAAATGCACATACATATTTTTAAATCGCATTTTTTAATATGTTCAAAAACTCAATATTTTATAAGCTTTCAAATATTTTCAAATAAAATTCAATTTAAATTTAATGATTTTTTAAAATAATTACTTGAAATTAAAATAAGTATAGTTTTTGCGTCTCTAGACTAGGTGAAAGCGACAAAGATTTAAGAGAATTAGCTTTTAACGCTACATATGATTTACTTTTGAGAAATCCGAAAAAGGTGAAATATTAAAAAAATTTGAAGCATTTATTTTTATTCTAATTCTATTCTGAAAGTGAAATATAATTTTTTTTCAGATTCTTGCAATTATACCACAATTAATATTACCTCTAAAAAGAGCCTTAAACACTAAAGATCCACCAATTGTAGTTGGAGTATTGAAAATAATACAAAAAATGGTATTATTAGGTTGTATCATAGAATAAAAAAAATTAAATTTACATACATAAATTTGTAGATATTATTTGTATAAATAATCATTTGTTGTAGATCCTTCTATTGCACGAGCATTGGTACCATTTTTTAGAACACTTTTACCTGTTTGTAACTTATTCAAAGATGATAATGCCAATATTGGAATTGAAGTTGACACACAACGTGATAATCGTCTCGGCGATGTAATTGATGATACCCTACAAATTCTTGAACGTTCTGGTGGTCCTGATGCCTATATTAATATTAAATATATGGTACCAACATATGAAAGTTCAGTAGCAAATTAAATAACAAAAAATAAAAAGAAATTTTGATTTTAAAGATATTACTAAAATATATTAAAATATTTGTGGCAAATATAAACCTATTTGCTTTTATGCAATTATTAAAGACATCACATAATACTCATTAATTACATCATGTACGTGTAACGTTACAAAATAGATATCTATATATTTATAGATATTTTCAAATAAATGATTAGTTCTATTAAATTTCTTGTTAAAATTATCGTTAAAATGTATATGAACTAAATTAATATGTAGTTACTATTGTTTTATAATACGGATTTAATTTGTTTTAAAATTTATGTGTTCTATAATCGGATTAAGATTCAAATAAATTTACTTTTGTAACATACTTCAAAAAAATGTATTTAAAAAGGATCGCTAATGCCCTTTAGTATAGTAATTTTAAATTTTATAAAGTATATAATGTAAAAAGTTAAATGTATGTGTCTGCCTGTGTGTCCTTTATAAATTTCATTACTAAACAAACGCAAATGTGATCATCTTGAAACTTTGAAAGATTGTTTAGAAAAGGCACTTCTTAAATAATTCTAAAAAAATTTTCGATTCTGAAGTTATAACAAAAAAATCGATCTTCCGAGCTTTGTTATACTGAAATTGAAAATCAACAAATGTGGTCATACCGGGTATTATTCGAAAGGTCTAGAAATATTATAACTTTGATTCCGAGAGATTTTTGGAAATCAACCTTGTGAGGCTTAAAGTCCCGAAAAGCGATTAAATAAAAAAATATATTAAACATGTAGTTCTATTAAGTTCTAATTAGCAGGGTTAAGACAAAATTTTTCAAGAGACCGCTCGTATGAAGAAAGAGATGTTCATTCGTTCGAAAAAATTTTGAAAGCATTTGAAATATAAATAAAAAAATATTGTCAATTTCTTTCTTCTAGCATACCAGTAAAACGTAATGGACTATAGCAAGCCTTTCATAAATTTTAGAATTTGGAGTGCTAAACTTTCAACTTAATCGCTTTTCTAGGCATACAGACATCGAAAATTTAATCAAATTAACACTCCATACTCATTTTATTGAAAATCATTAATACTGACTTATAATAGAAAGATATAAGAAGAATATATCAAATTGAATATGTGAAACATTCATTTGAAATGAAATTTTTCAAAATAATTGATAATATTTCTCTTTTGCTTCATTTCCTTCTATTATCCTCGTTTTAGACGTGCAGATTATAATAATGTAACTATATGTATTAAAAACAAATATGAAAAGTAAAAAAGAAAATAATGGCGAAGTGCTCGCCGTGAAAAAAAATTATTTTTTTTATTATTTCATGTTAAAAATAGAGTAACATATGTTTAACAAAATTCTTTATCCTTTTTTCAACTTGTTCAATTATTAGTGACTACAATTTTAGAAAATTTAAAAAGAATTTTTTTCTTTAGCAAAAATCTTTACAAACTTAAATCCATTCTATTTTAATCCATAACATACACATCCAGATATTGTAAATACTTAAACATATTCATTTATAAAAACAGACTATATTTTAAAATTCTTGCACCTACGTTATATACCGCACGAAAAATGTATTATTAAAGTGTAATTCCGTTTTGAAATATTTTTAATCTTACTATAGACATTGATATTGATAAACTTGCTAGGATGTATAAATTGTTATTAACATCCATATGACATAGCAAATTTATAGTTGACATACTTATTCCATAGTTGACATACTTATGACATAACATATTTATTAAATACATATGCCAATACAGTTATGTATGTAATAATTGACAACATTGTTTGTAAAAGACATCCACTATGATAATTATAAAAAAATAATAATTTTAAACCTCATTTAGTTATTAAATTAACTGTAATCGACTACATTTCCAATTACTTCAAGCTAACTTGAAAATACCTGCCTTAAGACTTTTTCATAGTGTGTCAATATCACTGCAATTTTTGGACTAGTATTCGAAAGAAAAAAGCAAATTTTTCTTTAAGTTCTTTTACTAAAAAAGTAGAATTTTCTCTGAGCTTCCAAATTTAATTATTTAATAAATTTTTCCACATACAACGACATATCTACATATGTATGTATGTAAATAATATTCTTAAATCAGCTATACTAATAAGATATTTCTTTCATCTGTGACCAGTTACTCTAACATATTAAAAATTCATAAATTCTACTCTCTTATTCGAATATCTTAAAGTTTTCCTAGACAACTAATAATTTTTTTCCTCCATGTTACATCACTATGTGTACATAGATATTTTATGCTCATACAGTTAATGTGATATTTGTACAAAGTATTATACATTGTACATCATTTGATTTGACGATGTCATTCTAATGATGTCTTCTGTCAATAATGATCCGTTTTTTTTTTGTTTCTTTTTTCTTGATGTCTTCATATGATTTTGCACAACAATGTTTAATATTTTTTTTTCTATTGAATACTAAAATTAAACTCAGGTGTGCCTTATGATTTTCTTATTTTTTTTTTTCTGCTATAAAGAAGCTGTACGTATTGTTATAGTTTGTGCATTCTATATGATATAAGTGCCATTGGAAAATATATACATATATTGTGTTTAAAGTTAACATATATGTACACATGTATGCATCTATAAAAAAAAATGTTATAATATGGAATAAAAACATACATATGAAAATACAGGCAATTGATTTGTAAAATTTATAGTTATGGCGAGAATAACGAAAGGCAAAAACCACTGAAGTGTGCCAGGAATTCATAATCAAAATATCATTTATTTCTTAAATTTTCTTTGCGCAAATAACAGAACATACGTGTATTCATACATCATGCACCTATTCCTGTAAATTTTTATAAATATGTATTAGGATGTGAATATTATATACTAGATTTTACATACATACTTGCATATAGCATATATGTATACATATGTATATATATTATACTTTACACATGCGGTTATCGTATTATAACAATTGCCATCGTAATAACCCATAAATATTTTGAACAATATTCTTGTCACTCAAATTAATTTCTTACATTGAATACATAAAATCGAATTGGAAATGAAAAATAAGAAAACAGTATGAAAAAAATTTATTTACTTACATTTATGCGATATACAAGCAAATTTAACTAATTTGAAAAAAAAAGGAATTTAATCCTTCTCGTTGACATAAAATATCTCTGTGATATGAATAAAATTTAAGATCTCAAAATAAATCTACAATATCGTAGTCTTAGAATAACACTGAAAGAAATAAGTGCTTTATCTTTAATTATTTGCCATGATTTAATAACGGTAACATTTGTAAAGTTAAAATTTATCACGAAAAATTGAACTTATTGAAAGTATTCAAGCTTCAGTTGGTGTTCCCATTCCTCTTCCATCAGATTTTTAAAAAATTATTGAAAAATTCAACAATAAAATAATTATTTTCAAAATTTTAAGTTTTATAAAGTAAGTATACGTACCCCCTTGTCTTACATAAGTAACACACTAAATAAATGTACAAATAAGTCGACAAACTCATGGTGTTAAAGCTTTTTGCTACTCTTAATTATTTAAAAAAAATATTACATTTCTAAGCTACTTACGATCTCATAGACGGAAATATTAATATGAAATATTGTACAAGAACATAAATTCAATTTTTGAAGAATATCTTTTTATTACATATTACATTTATACATATCTACATTTCTACATGTATATTACATTGAGGTAGAATTATCATAAAATTCAACACCCCATCCAATGATAGTGATTATTATATCTTATGTTATTCAATATACAACGCATACTGTTATAATATTGTGTAATTTAATGATTATGTAGACAGTTACCTTCATTTTATTATGTTATACAGTATAATATTCTGTACATAACATAGTATATTATATATTATACATTATGTATATGTACATAAAATTATTTATGTAATATATAACATGAAAACATAAAATTTATAACATGCCAATTTCATTTTTTCAAATTTACAAAATTCATGTGAAAATTATGTAAAAAAAAATCCTATTTTAAAATTGACTATGAAGGCATTACGTTTATTATATATTGCTGCCGCCTGTTGTTCCTTTTCTTATACTTCAAAATCAATATAAAAAAAAAGGATTTGAAAGAGTTTTAATCGTATAAAAATGCATATATATATTTAGTAATACGGGTTAGTATAGATACGATACATATGAATATGTGAAGGTACATATAGTATTTACGTGTACCTATACGCTATATACATCAGCTATATGTATATTGCATAGTCTTTTAGCTATCATCATATTTATAAGAAATTATTGCTATTATATGATGTGATTTTGTATTTTTAGAGGAAAGCAAAGAATGGAAAATTTTTATTGAATTTATTTTTTTTAGCTTCCCTCTGAAAACTGGTCAAGGTGCTCTTTAAATCGTTCTTTTATCTATCGATATTTAAAATGTGAAAAACCTTAATTTTTTTTTCTTCTTTAAAGAAATGAATTTAGAAGATTTTGACATAATTTTCCAATTTTATGTCTATTTAACAAAATAGAATTTGAATTTCGGAATGATGAAAGATTTTAATCTTGTGAAGTTTTAATTTCTAACATTACGAACGTTACTTAATTAATAAATATGTCAAATAGCTGCTGTAACCAAATTATAAATTAATAAATTATTCCTGTTCAAGTGAGCTTGCATATTATGTACATATTTATGTACACATTGTAAGCCCTTGTTTCAAAAACTTTAAAATTTATGAACAAAAACAAAGCAGAGCATTTTTTTTTTAATTTCGTAACTTATGACAGTGCCTCAGAATTTACTTTTGTGTTTTATAATTTTAGGAAGAATCTATTTAAATATTCCGATAATAATATTGAAATACTGAGCCATTTTACAAAAAGTAGCAATTATTCAACACTAAACACTCTTGAAAATATTTAATTTTTAAAAAAAAATTTATTCCGATTAAAAAATTGAAAGGCACAAATTATTAAAAATATGTGCTTAAATTTTTGTTAAATTATTTTTTCGCAATGTTATGCACACATTTTTTATTTTTGTTATTTATAAATTAAACTCTTGGTACACCATTAGCTGATAAACATTTCCAATTATTCCATGCCCATTTTTCTGTTGTCCAATCTGGATTACGTTTTGTTAAACATTTTTCGATTGATGCTTTTTTATTTTGACCAAATTGTGCTGCCAATAATTCTGGAACATAACCATCTTTTTCATTCCATGTTTCAAATTTAAGTGCAATACATTTAATAAATTTATGTGTTAATTCATCATCAGGAAGTTCATCTTTATCATATTTTGCTCTAAGTTCTTTTGGAATTTTTAAAGATTGTTCACATTCATTATTAAAACGAATTGAATCTTCTTCAGTTTTCTTAATATACGCTGCATTAGCCTTGAACGTAAACAGGAAACAAAAAAAAATATGTTGCATTAAAAAATTCATGTACTTTTTATATAAAATTCAAAATTATTCAAATATTTAACAAAATCATTTTTATAACTTGCTTTTCATTTTAAATTAAAACAATAATAATAAATTTTTAATAATTTGGTAATCAACTTACGAGTAAAAAACAAGCGAAAATTACAATAAAAGTTTTCATTTTTGTAAAAATCCAAACAAAATTCTTAACCGGTTCAAGAACAAAACGTAAGATCGAACTACGGAAAAACGAATGACACTTTAGAACAAAAATGCTATCGTTTTTATACCGTGAATGTGCCCATTTTGTTTTCTTTTATTTTCTTCTTATTATTATTAAAAACATGTATTAATGGCTTATATGATGTTAAACATAATATATGTAAATATTTTATGATAATTTCTTCTTATTTTCATTAAATTTTAATATTAATCCTACTACAATCATAAAAACACTGTTGTTATTTCTTCTTTAATTCCAATTTCCATTTCGTCAGTCGATTCCTTGAATTTTTGTTGGATTTTCCAATAATTTCGTAATTGTGCTAATTCGTTTTTAATAAAAATATAGAAGAAAACAGGAATTTTTTATAAAGAACAAAAAATTTACAAAATTTATATAATCAAATTCAATTTAAAAACAAAAGTGTTGAATCGTCTGTTGAGAAATAAAACGGTGTTCTGATCCATATACTTTGTACACATTATACACTGTTTCATTTTTCAACAGACGAAGTTATGAACAACAAGATTTGACAAAAAATTTTTTCTGTGAATTTCTGTGAATTTTCATCAAATACAGAACCCTATTTTTTAACAAGACTCTCTGTTTATACCCGTACGAACGTATGTTCGAAGGGTACACTAAATGTGCCTTACCGTTTGGAACGCTAAGAAATAATGGTCTGAGATGTTGACTCAAGTGTATGTTTTTGTTTAGCGTCGAATTCTGAGTAGATTTAGCTTTGTCTGTCCGTCCGTCCGTCCCAGCGATAACTCAATAACTAATTGAGCTAAGTTCACCAAATTTTCACAAATGATTTATTGTAGTAAGTGTAAGAACCCTATTTAAATTGGACATGATCGGGGTACTGGTTCGGGTAATTGCCGTACAACTTCAAAAGTTATTTGGCTATATCTCAGAAACTATAAGAGCTGTGGTATTGAAATTTCACACAAACGCATATATTAATAGGGCCGATGTGTTTTATAAAATTCGTTAAAATTCCCATAGTCAGTTATGGCATATTTATTCGTACATAGGATACATAGGATATATGATACCCGTAGGAACAAGTTTACAGGGGTATCACAAAGTTGACACGGTTAACTCTATTTGTTCTCGTTTATTGTTAAATTCGCAATAAGTTGTTAAAAAAAACCCAACTTCTTAAAACCTAAACGTTATAACAACTTGAAATAATATCTTGTGAAATAAAAGTTTCGAAATTACCTGATTTCTTTGAAAATGTGACTTTTACTTAATGCGGGTTTTACTAAAAGTTTAGTAATTGGAGAAAATGTTTTAATATATCAAGAAAAATTTATAATTTTAAGTAATTTAATTGATTTAAGATCTAGGAAAAAGATTTTGATATATCTAGATTTTCGCAGTTAGATTTCTATGAAAATTTAATCAATTCCCTCTGTCATATAGCTTTTTACTAAAACTCTTACTCTAACGCTAACCTTTTTACTTTCTAGTTTTTCAATATTCTATCTAGTTGATAAGAAAACCATATTTATGTACATTTTATGGAAGATATGCTGCTCTAAAATTGATTGTCCAGAAATACATGTTTAGAGCTACAATAACAAATAGATTAAGTAAACATTTTATTAAAACTATTTCTTCTATACGAAAACAATACCCTTCTTATTGTACCTATAAACAGATTCAAGCAGGAATACTAAAAACACTGAATGGGTCATATGAGTAATTTAAGTTTTAATAAAAAGTTATGGTATTAAATTTGAGCACATTTCTTCCAAGAATTTTTAATAAGATAAACTTGCTTATATTTTCAAAATTACTAAATAGTTTAATAATTTCAAACTATAAAAATAGTTTAATATCAATAGCACCTGTCAACGTAATATTGTAGTAAGAAATTATTAATTATTACAAATACAGTCCGCAACGCTCATTTTGTATGCACAAGCTTAAACTCCAGCCATTAAAGTTGCTATAGTATATATTTTTTGCTACCAACTAATTAACTAGAATTTTTATTGAGCATTGGCTTTAGCCATTTATTAAAATAAGTTTTAAAACCATATTTCGAAGAAAATTAACAGATTATCGCTAAAAATTGTTAATTTAATAAATCAAAAATAACTTCCTACATATTGTATTTTTTTGCATGTCTCGAGGAGGTCTTGAAAATATTAAACAATTACAGTTTTGCAAATAACATGCAAAGTGCAAAATTTTGGTAGGTACTGTGAAATTCACAAAACAATGTTACGCCATAAGCTTTATAGAACATTTATATTAAGCTCATTTCACATATATAACAGATTTGTATTTGAACAAAGTAGAAGTAAGTGAATCTCATAATAAGGATTAAGAAACAATTTTTAATAAAATATTGAAATTATATGGGTTTCTTTCTAATTATTTGAATAATAAAACTTCAACTAAAATTTAATTTAAAAAATAAATTTTTATAAAAAAATCTTTATTTTAAACAAAAAAAAAAATGAAATACCAATATGATACCTATGAGAGCAAATGTTTAATATTATTTAAAAATAATTGACAATTTTATACATTTATCGTCATATTTCCTTTTTAGATTCTAAATTAATTATTTAGAAATTCCGTTTTGTACCAAACATTTCCAATCATTCCAAGCCCATTTTTCTGCAGTCCAATCTGGATTACGTTTTGTTAAACATTTTTCTAATATTGGTTTTTTATCATCACCAAATTGTTGTAACATTAAATCGGGAACATAACCATCATTTTCATTCCATGTTTCAAATTTAAGTGCAACACATTTTATATGTTTATGTGTTAATTCATCATCAGGATATTCAAATTTTGAATATTTTTCTTGAAGCTCTTGTGGAATATTTAAATTATCTGGTGCATCACATTCTTTACGGAAACGAAGTAAATCTTCAGGACTTTTCTTAGTGAATGCTGCACTAGCCTGTTAATTTTTAAATATAAAAAATTTATATATTAAACTTAATGAATTATTTTTAAATTTTAATTAACATTACTGATGGTACGAGTATTATAAATTGCGTATTTTATATAACTTTAACTTACAATCACAACACAAGCAAAAAGTGCAATAAAAACTTTCATTTTTACTAAAAGAAATGTTATGGTTTTGATATCGAAAAAACGTAAGATCGTACTACTGAAAAATGAATGATACAGAAATACGAAAACGCGATCGTTTTATATACGTTCGAGCCGGCTAATTTTTTTTATATTTTGAATTTTTATTGAATACACAAGCAGATTTATACACATGCATATGATAATTTTTTATTTTCTATTAATTTAATTAATTTTCAATTTTTATTTCGCCGCACTGTATTAAAACTTTTTTTAATTCAAAATCATTTTTTAATTTAGGTTTTGTTGTTTTTTTTTTTGGTCCGTCCTTCAAATTTTGTAAATATTACAATAATTATATTTTTTTCCAAAATAAGTTCTTTTACATATTTATTTCGTATTTTCTTGAGACGAAGAGCACACATGTGCAAAGTGTAATGATAGTCACTCTAATAGGGGTTGATCTAATTGATATTAGTTACGTTATTTGTTATTAGTGATTTTTAGTACATAATTTTTAATACATATACACATTATATACATGCGTATGTAGTCAATGAAAACCGTGAAAACTTATTACCTAGTTTACCAAATTACAGTAAAAAAACTGAAATAAAAGTTAAAATTTGCTACTTTTTTAATTAGAAAATTTATATGTATACAGTTCCATCTTTGAAATACCTATTTAGTAAATGAATGAAAGCTGTAGTAAAAATTATTTACCTCCAAAACAATCAATAAAAAAAGAAAAACAAAAGCATTTTTAATGAATTTTAGAGCAAATGACGAATGCAATTTAAAATCAAAATTTACGGCAAAACAAACATCTTTGATTTATAAAATTACTTGGATATATTTTATGAGAATTATAATGAATCCGAATTCTACAATTTGTGTAGTAACTTAATATTTAAAACAAAGTCAGAAATTTATATTTAATCCTAATTTAAAATTATTCTCGTCTAATCTATTCTCGTTATCATACAACATGTTCATTGTTCTCAAGATTATTATATTAGTCTCATAATTGTTTAAATTTTTTTTGCTTTATAGGTAACTTTCTATACGGCACAATTTTATTCCACAATATCTTTTTTCGTTTGTTTTTTGTATTTTTTTTTTTCGGGTTTTTTCCTCTTATACTATAATCAAAATTTTGTTTTTGCCCACAGCTGAGTCCATCTATATATTTACTTAAAATAGAATCAGAATCATATAATAATAGTTATATGAGTCTCATTTTTGAATTTTAATTAAAAACCAGCTCGCGTTATTGTGATTATTATAAGATGTGTCTCCAAAATAAAGGTAATAACAAAGTAAAATAATATTTTGTTTACAATTTTTTATTTTTTCATGCTTGTTTATCGTTCACGGGAGGAATAATTTAATTTTGATAGCGTATACCTATGTATATTGATTTACATTTTAATTTTTAAAAGGGTATACTTTACCATAATCAAAATATAAAATCTATTTATCCTATAATATTGATTAAATTTATAAGATAATTTCGCAATTAAATGTAGGTTTAACGTACCTTTGCTATACATTTATTAATATAATAAGTAGTTGAATTTAAATTGAAAATTTAGGTGTATACATATATATAGATATATGTATATATAAAATAAAAATTGAAAATTAATTGCAGCAGCATTCCAAGTAAATGAATAAACAGGAATTTATCAATACATAATATTATTATTGTTATTTACTAATTATTACAGGTTCTTAATGGAATTTTTTCTCTATCTTTTATAATTACAATTTTTTTTTTATTCTTTTGTTGTTAATACATCGTCAATCTCATTCATTTAGTGTATTTAGAAGTTTAGTGTTAATTTGTGTTAATTTGCACCTTTCTGGTCATCCATTGACAATAATATTGAATTTTCATAAATAGCACTTATTATGTAGGTATATTAATATATAATAATTATGTTTGCCGTCATTAATAAATACATGCTCGTAATATTGTATTTATATGTATATAGGCAGGAAGGTATAATAATAATTGTACATATGTACATATTAACGAATTTTATAAAATTTCATATAATATAATTGAAGTTAAATTATGGGTAACCATCATAGATCTCAGTTTTGTATTTTAAGTATTATAAAAAGATAAAAATATTAAACTACATTTGATCATATTTTATACACGAATAAGTTTAAATAAAAAGAGTGTATCTATTAACATTTCTGTTAAATGAGAAAATTCTGCATTTACTTGATTTTTAGTTAAATTTTTATTGGCAAACCAAAATATTCACAATTCTTCCGAAAAATCATGTTGATTCGAATATTTTAAAGCTAAGCAAGCCTATTAAAAAACAAAATATATGTTAAGTATGATTTTAAATCATTGCTTTTTGTGATATTGATCGTGAATCTGTTAAGATTATTTAAAATCCAAATTTTTAATTTATTTTTTTTATTCTAATTTTTTATTTCTTAGTTAAAAATATAAGTAAATATTATTTTTATTCTTAAACGATTACATAAATTTATTTAAGAAATTTACTTATTTAAAATGAAAGTAAAGTAAAAGCACTCAAAATTTATATTGACATAGAATAAAAAAAAAATATTGAATCAATTAAGAATACTAATAAGGGTAAGGAAATTTTTGCAAAAAATAATATTATTTTATAATAAAAATGAAAAAATTTATTTATTGTACATGTAAAGCAATAATTTTTATTATATAGCAATATTAAATGTACACATAATTATTTTTGTAGAAATCTTTAATTATACGATTATGAAATACATACTCGCAATTTAATTATCTTGGAAGAGTTAAAAATTAAAAAATTTTATCGTTGCGGCATCTATGTATGTTATTAAAACTTTACCGGTTTCTCTTTAAAATTTCACTTTTGTTCAAAATCAAAAATCAATAATAGGGAAATCCAAATCAAAAACTCATCATAATATAATAAAATTAAAAACTGAATTTGAATTACAATAAAGAAAAATACAATATTTTTTAAACATATTAATTAATTGATTATACTTTTATAAGTTTCATTTTGAATGAAAGTTTATTTTTGAGTCTTTTACTTTTAATCTTCTTGTTTTTAGAAAAGACCCTTACTTACAAATTATATATTGTAAATTATATATGGAAATTTCTAATCGAATGAAACTTCTTCGGCTTCATTAGTCATAATTAAATTATTAAATTAAATTTCATAAAATAATGTTTATTTCTTTAAATACAGTATAATAACAATTATTAGATTTTATAATATTTAACGCAGAGTATTCAATCTAAGAGAAATTTGTGGATTCAAAAGCAAATATTAGAAGTAAAAATAGTTAGAAGTATTCTTAATATACTCAGGAAATTTAGAAAATAAAAGCGCTACTAAAAATTAAACATGTAACCTGCTATGTTAAACATAACATAATTTTATTACGTTTCAAAAATTTTTATATTAAAAAATTTTTCCATTATTTTTATTTTTCAATTGATACTTATTATTCTAAGCCTGAATACTTTTTTTTTTTTGAGATTATTTTTTATGTTATCCAGTTTTATTAATATCTTATTTGAATTTGTTTATAAAATTAAAATCATATAACGTTGATTTGACTAAATATCTATTTCAATATTATTTTTTTTTATAATTTTTTTATTCATCAGAAACAGTTCGATGATCTATTTATTGAAAAGAAAAAATCAAACGTATAGAGCTATAATAGTTAACCGATAATTTAACAATTGATATTAGAGCACATCTATTTAACTTTTACGCACGTGAGATGATTCAAAATTTTATAGACGCACGAAACATTGTTTTTTTCTAAATAGTCTGAATATTAGATAGATTCTGTTTAATTTTATTTTATTACGGAAATATCCAATTTTCGTCATTTTAAATGCTATTACATAATTAATAATAAATAATTTTATTGTAGCGGTTGTATTTAAAATTAATTTAAATGTAGCTTATGCGAATGTTTACAAACAAATTTTACAAATAAAACAGCAGTTAGATTTATGATAAAGCTTAAGAACTTACTTAAAAGTAAGTATATCGTAACCTAAATAAGCTGATAGTTCTAAGATTAAAATTGCTGGAAATAATGCTGAAATCTTAATTCAAATAAGTTTATTAAGCAGAATTCGATTCAAATTATAATTACAATACACAATATTAAAGATAAAGATGAATTACAAAATCGTGATCTGGATTCGACACATTTAAATTTCATATAATATACAAGTAATCAAATTTCAATTAATTCTTAAGTTTAAATTTTCGTGTAAATAAAATAAATTTAATGGAAATTGGAAATATCCTTAAGTTGCTATGCTTTTAGTGAGATTTTACAAGTTAAATGTAAAGTGTTCTCTATCCTTTCTTATACACTTACACTTTTGTATTTATGAAAATTTTTATTATAAAAAAGTAGCATTTTGTTTGAACTCAAAATATATTTTCAATTCAAATAAATAATTAATAGCCATATAGGAAGAAAACACTTACCAGAGTTGACGTCTTAGTATCATATATTTTATTATTTTTCTCATTTGTTCTAAATAAGATATCTTACAATTTTTTAAATGCAATTTTCTGGATTACAACGTATTCGTATTCGAAAGATTTAAACTAAATTGCTGGTCATGGAAAAAGAGCAAAATAATATTCTTCGTACAGAAAATAAGGGGATTGAAATTCTAAGCGAAGTAAATTTAAAGAATAAAAATGAACAAAAAAATTCTAACTTATTCATCGAATTCAATGAGCAAAATCGAAATTATTCTGTTCTTGCTCCAGAAACGGGATCGTCATTTGAATATAAAAATATTGAATCGGATTCACCGAGAAGCAGATTTGTTGAAATATACCAAAGTGTAGATAAAGCAGAAGTTAAAATACTTGAACTAGAAAGCAGAAGAAAATTATTAGAAAAAGATATGGAGTTATTACTACAAGAAATGCAATATGAGAAATTGATGTTAAAAGAAGCTGCTGGTTTTGAAATTGATCAAAAAATACAAATTACACCAAGAAATCATTACTCTTCTATTAAAAAAGATGTTATTAACCCGCTTAATATAAGTCATGGTTTGTATTTTATTTACTAAAAAGTGCATTATACATACATACTTATATAATTTCTTTTTAGTAAATGAGCATTATATAAAAGACATATTGCAGTCCTACATGTCTTTTATTTCTTTTCACACATTATTTTTTAAATAGAAGATATAAAAAAAGCTATTGCACGCGCATGTTTGCGTAAATGCACTTTTTTTTCATTTAGATATTTTTAAATATAGGAGTTTTAAAATTTTTTACTGAATTCTAAAAGAATTGAAGTTAAAATATTTTCTATTTGCATAAACCATTCTTAATTTATAGTCCTCATTCTAAATAAAAATATTCTTGTGTTTTAAAGATAACATCAAAACTCATATTGAAGAATGCCGCAAGATTTTGAATTATTCAAAATCCCAATCTAATATCACAAATGAACCTTTTGGTCCAGATCTAAAATATTTTAAAACAAATTTGGAAAATTATAAAAGAGAGTTAAGTAAATTTAGTACCGATTATGTTCAAATCAATGCAGAACAAACCTGCCCTATAGAAAATTTACGTAAAAATAGTAATTTGGAGGAGGAATCCATCAAAAACTTTTCAGATGCAAAATCATAAAAAAAAACATTTGCATTAAAAAAGTAATATATTTTTTTTTAATTTAATAGTTATAACTTTAAATAATTATTTACACATAGGATAACTTCTTCAAATGTTGTTATGAATTTTCTAAATTTAGAATCGTCATGTAAATTTTGCCCTTTATTTTTAATGTGATAAATGAAGGTATTAAAAAATTCATTAACACCATCGCAAAGTACTGGATTCTGTTTATTTAATTTAACAACTTCCATTAATACAGTGGAAAACTTCTTAAAGAAATTTTCTAATAAGTCATCACAAATATTTATATCCATCGGTAAAATCCAAACCAAATAACATATGTGAAATATCTGAAAATATCAAATTTATCTAGTAGAAAATATATTAAAAAATACAAAACCAAATATTTACGTTTAAAGCCTGTAGAGTTTTACCAGAAATTCCCATCAAATAATTCGATACAGCTATTAAACATTCCATAATTGTTTTGGCCCAACGATATGCAATTCCAGGATCAATATCAAGGCATTCTTTGCGAAGTTCACAAATATTTTCCAGACAATTTTCTTCTTTTTCCACAATTAAACTTTTGACTTTGAAAGTATTTAATGAAAATTCTAAAAAGAGTCTCACCAAATTTTTCATGAGGGTTAACCATATTTCAAACGATTTTGCTAGTACAATTTGGTGACACAAATCTTTTATTAAATAGTCTACATCAGTAAACTGCTCCATCAAAAAAAAATTAAACATATTACACATTAGAATTATCATTTGAAATAATAAAAATGTTACCTTCTCAAATGTGTAAAAATTGTTGATTTTCTGACATTTAATCAGATTATCCCACAAAAGCTCCAGATTTTCATGAGAATCACATTTGTAAATGTCTCTTTTTAATTCCTCAAAAATTAAATTATTGATATTCATTTTAATTAAATGATCCTTATCCTAAAGTAGAGTAAAAAGCATTTCATTAGCTCAAAAACAAAGTTATCTATACCGTTTCTGACAAAATTAATTTAAATATTTTGTTTGCCATTCCCTTAAAGTTTGGATCAAAAAAATCTTGCAAAAGTAAACCAACTGATAACATAAATGCTACCGCATCGTTTGTAATTTTTATGTGATATTTATTATATTTAAGCTAAACGTTTTAAAATATAAAATTAAGATAACATTTAACATTTTATCTACCTAGCTAGGTAGGTACTTACATCCAGGTACTGCTGAAATCCAATTACAGTTCCAATATTTCTTTTCCATGAAGAAACATTTAGTTTACTTTTATAATGGTCAAAAATTTCTTTTTCTACCTTATCTAAAGTTAATATTTTCTTAAAATGTTTGTCAATTAACGTTATCACATTATCAAGCAAATGCTGGCTCCTTGTTTGGTGCCATTGGTTTGAATAAGGCGATGATTGCTCACATAACAATAATATGAAACGCATCTGAAGCTATTGTAAAGCATTTACTTTTGGATCTAAAACTTAGTTCAAATAAAATTTACTTCTTTACAATTGCTATCCTCTTCATAGAGTAAGTCTTCATTAGCTTGTATCATATCAAACACGATAATTAAATTCCCATCTAAAATTTTCCTAAACTCACTAAAATTATCGGAAGAAATGTTTTCTTCACCAACATCTACCCTAAGTTCGGGCATTAAACAAGAATTTATTAAATTAGATAATTCAAGTGCGATTTCACATTTATCCATTTTCAGAATTTTTTAAAAAACTTTTTCCTTAATATTTTTAGTAAACAAAATAGCAAAAAAATTTGACATAAAACAAATAATTTCATTTGGGCTTTGTTCCATCCCGTTTCGAAGATTTCAATTCAAAGTGTTTCATATTTTGATTTTGGAATTGTAGTAAATTTACTGCCAACATCTGTCATTAATATTAATGGTCAATATAATAGAATAAATTAAATGAAAGTCACTGGTCTTCATAAAATCTTTCTAAGTTTCTATAATACCAATCTTGCCGTTTTCTCATAGTAATAAATATAATCTAAAAAGTACTACAATTTCGAAATGTAATTTTGTTGTTACAATTTCTTTATTAAAAGTATTCATCAGAGTTGGGGTTGATTAAGTACTTTACAAATAAAAACAATTTATTAAAAACGTATTGTTACCAAATAATCGTCAAAATGATCAAAATGTTAGTAGAGACAAGAATCCTTTTAAAATCTATTACCAGAAATAAGAAGTAAAACTGAATTGAAACATTTCGTTTGGTTAGATGTCGCTATATCTGAAAATTAAAAAGGGACGTTTTTTCTTTTGGACACAAAATAAACATAAAAACAATACGTAATTAAATTTCAATATTTTGAGGATTTTAAAAAATAGTTGTAATTTTAAAAATAATTTTGATGATTTCGTCTTTCATTTATTTCGATTTCGTTTTTTTAGGACTCTTCTAAATTTTGAAAATAAATGCTTATTAGTTGTCCGTTCGTTGCCCGTTTAAAAAACTTCTACACCCTTGAAGGTAGAAAACTGAAATTTCATACTATATAAATAGATCTTTAAGAAGAAGCTTATTTCCGTAGAAGAACAGTTTTACACGCGTCCTCCTCCATCTACAATAGGTTGTAGGAGTCTGAAACTTTTGTAGCTTTTACATAGCTACCAAGTTATCGCCTCTCAAAATTTGTAAAAGTCGTATTTTTGGCAGCATATATTTCCGAAACTGCGAGCTTTTTCAAATTTCTATAAATGAAAATTAACAATAAATACAATGTCACAAAAAATATAATTTTCTTTCTTAACCAAGGCAACTAACGCTTGAATTTGAGCATTATGTTAACGCTCCTAGTTTTTTTAAAAGGAGTATTCTCACCTGGAAAACTGATACTTTACAAACCATTAATTGTAACCAACTTTTGTTAACTATTTTCAATAAGAAATCTTTTCAATTTGTAAATAATTTATTTTGTTCATAAAAAACAAATATCTAATGGATAAGTGTCTACACACATTATGATTTCGAGATTTTAAAAATTTGTAAATTTTCGAAAAATTTTTGAATTGTATAGGTATTTATTATAAGTATGTGGCGATGGGTATTTGTAGTTGCGTTTGTATTTTTTATAAATATGCGCACACATAAAAACGGTTTTTATTCACATTTTTTAAGTAAAATTTCTATTTTTCAGTTTTTTAAAAAGAATATCGTTTCAATTTAGAAATTATAATTTTACTATCTGGTTTTTAAACATGTAAACACTTGAATATTTACAAACACGTATGTATATAATATTTTCTAACTTTCAGTATATTTTTCTTAAAAACTGAAAACTAAAAATTTCCCATCCAAAAACTGAAAAGTAGATTTGAAAAGCTGAAAAGTAGAAAAATAAAAGGTTCAGTTTTTTTTTTATAAATTTCTAAATCTACAAACATAACATATAATTTTCCTGATTTTTGAATTTTAGCAAAAATGACAGTTTAAGGTGAATTAAGGTTTAGTAGTTTAAGGTGAATTTTAGAAGAAGATCTACTTTTAAAGATGCTTTAATTTTTCTCGTGTACGTTCATCGCTTCGTCTGGAAGTGCTACTAATTTTTTTCAATTTTAATTTATTTTCAAAATTTTAAAATATTATTTTATTGAATCCAAAATCAGTTATAAAGCAATTGTTAGAAATAACAGAAAATAAAAATCCATTTAAAATTTTTTATGAAAAATTGTCAGAACAAAAATGTTCATAACAAATTTTTTATTGTTTTATAAAAAAAATTTATATTAAGATACAAGGTAATTTTTTAATATTATAATTTTCAAAATGCAACCAAGAGACACCATTTGCGCATAATCAAACTGTAGAAGTACTAAGTAAGATCTCATACATGCGATAATGTTGGTTCGAGGCAAATTTAAAAATTCCTCTCAGATCTTTTTAAAATCTCAGTAGTAATATTCAAATATGAACAAACATAATTAATAACAAAACATTTTAAATAAGACAAGACAACAATAATTACTGCAAATCCATACATGTATACACACATAATCACAAAGTAAAAATTTTGAGATTTAACGATTCTCAAAATAAATCCAAAAATCTGGGGGTGATTGAATTATTCCACTAACATTCTTACTCATATCAGGTAATTCTTGTCCAGGTCCCAATACAATATTAAAGTTTTGACAGATAGCGCACAATATTAAAAACATCATGTTACGAGCAAACGTTTCACCAGCACACAATCTTTTGCCTATAATTACAAGAATAATTTTTTTTAGATATTTTAAGTAGTTTTACGGCCATTTGTAGAAAAATATACCGGCTCCAAAAGGTAAACTAATATCTTTTTTCAATGATAATGTGTTATTTTCATCTAAAAATCTTTCCGGTTTAAATATTTCTGGATCCTGCCAGTATCTGGCGTCCATATGAAAAGCATATAAACCAGGTACCATTATTGTATCCTTTAAATTTTGGAAATAAAGGAAATATATATAATATAGAGAGTATAAATAATTAAATTTATAATTTTACCTTTTCAATTTTATAACCGAGGAATTCTGTGTCCACTAAGGCTCTATGTGGAACACTTGAGGGTACTAAAGTTTCGATTCTCAATATTTCACGAAGGCATGCCTCTGTATACGATAAATTTTTTCTGTCATCTAAAGATGCTAATCTTCCACGACCAACAACACGATCTAACTCTTCTTGAACATTTTTTAATAATTCTGGTCTTAGCAGGAACCATTGAAAGAGCATAGATAATTGAACTCCAACAGCAGTAATCGCTGGGAATGCAAAATCCACTAAACTTAGTACAAACTGGTCATCTAAAAATACGTTCATATTTTTGAATAAAAATAAATTAAATCATGCAAAAATTTTTCATCTCTAAAGGACTATTTCAAATTCTTTTTAATTTACTTACAAAAAAATGTCGAATCTACTTCATTTTCTTTTTCAGCTTTTTTCATTTCTCTAATGTACATATCCATAAAATTTCTATCATAATCCTCATTGTATGTTTCCAAATTTTTATCTACATATGTTTTAAAGAATTTCCATAAAGTTTTCGTTGAATCTCTTAATTGTCTGTATCCACTTTTGTACGGAAAGAAATGTCTAATCCATGGCAAAAAACTTAGCAAGCGTCCATAATCATCACCAGCTCTTTGAAAAATCATACCATCTTTAACTAATTTATTACAAATTTCACGTTCTTCACGTGGAACTCTTTCATTGCACATTATATAAAGAAATGAATTTGTTGAACATGCGCTCATAAAATTTGGGCAACAAGCTTGTAATTTATCTCTAACAAATTCTTTTTCATGAGGATATTTTGGACCATTTCGAATTAATTCTACCAAATCAGTTAATTCTTCGTTCATTACTGCTTCTAATTCATCAAATCTTCGACCAAAACCAAAATCACGTAAGTATCGTAAAACGAAACGTCTTTGGTCCTTCCATAATATTCCATCATTAAAGAATATTCCTATTATAGTAAAAAAGGATTAAAATTATAATGAAATAATGCAATATAAATACTAAATATTTTTATGACAAACATTATCTTTCTATATTAATATGAGCTAAGTAACCTAAATTTGAAAATAATGTAATTTTTCTTATTAGTTTTAATTTTTTTAATCTGTTCCACCTTAATATGCCAATAACTATCATTATTTAACGCTTACACCAATAATGTTAATCAACCATATTACTTTAAACTTTGGTACCGTTCGGAACCAAACAATTGTAAAAAAAAATTTATTATTTTAACCCGAAAATCAAGAAATTTTTTTGAATTTTCAACTCAAATAACTTTAACGTTCAAATTGAAAAAAAAGCTTATATTAAATAATAACAAGGATACAATCTGTTTTTAAAACAGTTAATTTTCGTTTGCGAAACTTAATGGATATGCCATTAGTCTAAAGTAGTTCTATGACTTTGATTCATCCTTTTAAATTATGTATTATGTCCAAACTACATAGTTAAAAACTTAAAAGTTCGAATTAAATTTGGTGGTTAATAGGAACGATAATGAGTGAACAGTATGAGAACATGAGAAACTCTTTTAGTTTAGACATAAACCAATTAGAATTTGTTTTTAAAAAAATTTTTTTATATTTTAATCATTATCAGCAATAATATCAATACAATATGTTATGAGGTTAAAATGGTACTTTACATCTGCAACATACATCTGCTCATACAATTTTAAATGGAAATGTTCTCTATCCGTTACTTGCGAAGTTGGGATTCCTAACTCAGGGCTTGTATAGCTTCGGCGTGTATAGAGCTAGCAGCTACATGAAATATGATCAATTTTTGACAGTGCAAGCCATATGGTTCCGCCTTATGGTAACATTTAAGAAGAAACTGTTTTTGATAGCATTTAAATGATTTTCTAAACTCCAATGTAAAAATGAACAATTTTAAGATATTCTAGCTAAGGAGAAATGGAGATTTGTCTGTGAAAAGCTGAAAGTATCAAGAAATAATTTGAGCTTCAAAAATGAGCGAATTTTTTTTTTTAATTTTTGCGCACAATGTTAATGTTAAAAGGATGTGTAAAAAATGGCTTGATGACCGGAATAGATTTCATGCTTGTAAAATATATAACTTTCATAAGTATGTAAAGAACCCCAATTTTTTTATTAGGAAATATTGAAAGAAAACGACATAGGAACCATAATTATAAATTTAGAATAAGATTATAAACACTTCATTTATTATAGTTTTATTATCGTTGGAATTAACTAAATCAAATGTATTTTTTCCGTTTATTATTAAACAATATAAAGCGAATTAGGTACATAATATAATAAATGGCAATAAGTGATGAAATATAATTAATTAACTATGACGATAACACATGATCCTCTTGCATTTAAATTGTTTCTCTTTGTTCTACATATAATTTTAAAAATTTCGATAGTATTTTTGTGACTGATAACATATCATACAAATTATATTGTCCAAAAATAATATGATAATTTCACGTTATACGCAAATTTTAATAATGATTAGGCGTACATTAAGTGTTCGTACACATAGTACCTTAATAAATAGCCCTTTTATTTATTCATAAAAGGTTCTAATATTCCATGAATAAATCATTAAAATTTTCAGCTGACACTTTGTTTGCGCTAAAAGAGTTTATTTTTGTTCGAAATTTTTGAATTCGAAATTAAATTTAAAAATAAAAATATTTTTATATCCAAATTTTTGTTAAAAATTGAAAAAATTCGAATTATTTTTTCAACTTTATTTAAAACAATTATAATTATTTTTTTCACTTTTTTGAGAATTATTTTAGTATAGTGAGTTAAGAAAAATGTTTGAATGAATTTTTTAAAGTTTGAATAAATTGCTTGGGAGCTTATTTGTACTTCATTTCACAAGTAAATAAAAATTTACTCAACAAAACTTTTTATAATAAAATTTTCAATAGTTTGACTTGGTTACGCTTTCTATGCGTATTCTACTCATAAAACTTGAGTAATATACGCAACTTGAGTAATATGCGCAAATTTGATATCAAAATTAAGGTGAATCTATTTAAGTACAAAGGTGTATGAGTAAAAGTTACTGAAAAGAAATTTTGAAAGGTTTCAGTTTGAATTTTGAAGAGTTTTTGTACTCTGGAAAATCCACTATGAAAAAGATAATTTGGTGTGCCCTAAGTGGGACTATTTTTTAAAAAATAGCTGGGAAGAGAAGAGAAAATTTTTTAATTTTTACTTAAATAATTCATAAAAATATTACACAATTTATTCGCAAAACACTGTTCAAAATTAAATTGGAAAATTTTAAATAATTTTAACTGCTAGTATATTAGAAGTCATTGTACAAAAAAATGAAAAGCTAAGTCAGTTTCAAAAATAATTATAATTAATCCAATAAATACAAATCTGAAAATTACATTAGAAACAATTCAAATTGTTACGCTTTATGTTCTCATTATAATAATTTATCAGTTAAGTACCATATAAAAAATTTTATTCGAAATACGTAGATCTATTTGAATTTTAATTTAAGCAGGATTGAAAAAAGAATATCTTAAATCGCAAAATAAATTTTTTTAATGAGAATTTAAAATTTTTAAATTTATATTAATTAAATATTTATAAAATCTTACCTCTTCTATTAAAATGTGGATCTCTTAATCTACCAGCATATATATCTGGTCTACCATCGAAATCTTTTCTAAATAAAATTTGTCTTACACCTTCTTGACTATTTGCAATAATTGTTTTATATTCACCTAAATACAATCCAATTGTATCTGATTTATATAATTTACTAAAGAATAATGCAGCTTTATGTAAAAATTGATAATTAACGGCTAATAAAAATAGATAAGCACCAAATAACGGTATTCTTGGAGGACCGGGTGGAAAATTTTTTGGTTTTTCAAATGACCATTTTAATGCGATATAAATTATAATGGCTATAAAAATTGTTAATATAATTGGGGAAACCATTTTTTTATAAATTTATGATTTAAGTATTTTAAGTATTACATGAAAATTATTAATTAAATTGCGATAACAAAAAAATAATAAAATTTGTTTTAACTCTTTCCTTTATTTTCTTATTTTATTAAAAATTTTCGCCGCACAATTTAAATGTTTTTCCGTTGAGAGTTACGAGTTGACTAAAAAAAAAATTTTTTTTTTTTTGAAATAATTAAAAATTCGCTGTCGCGCTTATTTTATTTTTTTTTTATTGTTTATTTCGTTTCATAAAAATTTGTTAAAAGAAAACAATAGTCAAAACTTATCTGAGTTTTATTTTAAATACCCATAAGTGTATGGAAATATTTTTCTTTGATTTTTGATTTTTAAAGTTCATTTGGTTTTCATTGCACATTACATTTTTTGTTTTGTTGCTTCGCTACTTGTTGTCATACAAAAAATATTTTTAAAAAATAAAATATTAATTGAAATTCAATGAAGATGCTGTCGAAATTTTTATTATCTTATTTTTTCATTTAAAATTAATATGAACACTTTGTATTGTGTGGTAATTAAATTCGAGGATAATAATATTTTAATTTTTTTTTAGTGTATTTAAAATACGAGAACTGTGGTATAAAAGCAAAGACTGAAGATTTTAAGCAAATAAAACGTAAATAAAAACAAAATATTTTCAAAACATCCTCTTTGTTTATACATTTATACATACATACATATGAGTACATGTATCAAAAAAATTTGACTGTTGCTTTTTTAAAATTAATTTTAATGACCATATTAATCGCACACAAAGTCTCACTAACCTGGAAATTCATAAAATGATAAATCAATTCTTTCGGCACAGAGGAATAAAAATATATACAACGTATGTATGTATGTATGTTGGTTAATATTTGACACATGTTAAAATAAATTAAAAATTATTTGCTTTTATTTTCAACTAAATTATTACTTAAATTCGCTATAAAGTATAAATATTATCGAAACAAAAACAATTTAATTATCAGTAGCACGAGTGTAAATAGAAAATAATCGTAACTATATAGCTATCTGAATTTTTATTAATAGTTAACTAATTGTAATTATATATGTTTTAGGTACCTGCGTCTCATGTATGTACACATGAATGCGATATATTTTTTTCTAATACAAATAGGAAAATGTCTCGCTTTTGGAGAATTGAATAATATTATTATGTTTGTACACAACATTGAACTCTTTTTATTGATGCTGTTGCCGTTTATATCGAAAAGAGATCTGGGGTCTTACGATGTAATTTGATTTTCAAAATACAAATTGATTGATGCTATCTTACCATAATTGATACTATCCGAATACGAAAGTCGTTTCACGAAAATCGAATTACATAGCAAGGCCCCAGGATCTTATAATTTATATGAAATATCGTCAATTACACATATTGCTTTCTAATATTGAAAAAGGGTACTTACTTACTTGTAATTGATTACTCACTAAATGGAATTGGATATTCCATCTAGGAACTAGGTAATTCGGCGTTGAAAACACGCACAAAAAATTAGTTGTTATAAAATCGGAACGTACTTCATTAAAATTCTTACAAATAAATGTAAGCAATAAAGTAATATTTTTTTATTAAAAATTTTTAAATATTTAAACTGCTGTTCCTACGCCAAAGTTACATATATACTTAAATATGTAGGTATAAATATTTAATTATGTCGTCACGGCGTTAATTAATAATTATTCAATTTTCTCTTTTTGCTTTTTATCAGTTTCATTCGTATATAAGAAATTATAATCAGTTTACTCATATATAAAAAGCATTTTTAGGAATTAAATCAGTTTTGAAATAAAAATTTAGCGTAAATTCTGTACTTATATACGTAAGCTAATAACTTACGATAATAAAAATTTTGAATTGAATTTGAATATTGCTTGTGTAGTACACACCGAAAAATTTTTTAAAATAATTATTTTTTTTTCTAAATAAATTTAAGTAATATTAAACAATAATTTGAAAGTTTGAAATAAACAAGGATATAAGATTAAGGACAGAAATAATTATTTTAACTTACAGAATTAGATTCAAAAGTAGAAAAGTATTTTTTATTAAAGGATAAAGGATACCATTTTTAAGTTTGTTTTAGTAAAAAAGGTATTAATTTGACAGCCACAAATACAATACACTAGTGCTGTCAAATCATAGAAAATGTCCCGTTTCAAGCGAATTTTGAAACCTTCAAGAGAAAAAGCACAAAATTCGTGGGGAATTCCTTTGAAAACTTCTCATTAACATACAGTGTTGTTAATTTCAACTTGTTTTTCAGTAGCATTTTGTCTTAAAAATAGTAGTATGGAGAGCTTTAGCGTAGTAATTTGGAGTTATCATTAACACCAAACAAAAGAATAGTAAGGCGTCTGACTAAATAGATGCTTAGCAGGAAATGCTTGCGTAAAAATGTTTTTATATCCGCACATGTAAAATCAAGTCACCCAAATGAGCTACGCGCCTATGCGACGTATTGATATTTTCGGCTTTGGCAAGGTACATTTTATTTCGGTTTTTTGATTTTTTTTTTTTTTGTTTCAAAAAACAAAAAAAAAAAAAATCAAAAAACCGAAATAAAATGATCTGGTTACTATCAATTCACATATTGCGTAAAGCGCGCACTCAAACATTAACAATATAAACTTTTTTTGGAAAACAATTTTTAATTTTAGAAAAGCAAAAATTTTATATAACAAAACATATTTTTAGGTCTTCTTATTTTTGTGCCAGTGATGTTTTTAACAATACAATAATGGTATTTTCATAAACCAATGCAAATAATGACATTTTAGTATAAAGGCAAAAAAGTAGTAAAAATGGCTTTGCAGTAGTATAGTAGTATAGAATGCCAAAATGTAGTAAAATACTACAATTGTAGTAAAATTAACAACCCTATTTTTTTTTAATTTACCTATTTTAATTCCTCTTTTTTCATTTTTGACACTTGATCAAAAATAAAAAGTTCTGTTATTTACTTTGAAGCTCTTAAACTAATATAGTATAACTTTTATCACAATTTGAAAGTACCTGTTTAAGTTAACGTTATTAATTAAGGTATGCGATAGAATAAAAATGCAATATTTTTGTCTTGTTAAATGATTAAATACCTATTTTATTTAAATACAATGCAATATGTATGTGTATAAATAAAAAAATTTTTTAAGGGAAATTATATGAGAAAAAGTAGGGTTTATAAAGGTAAAAATTGGAATTTTTAATTTTCTAAGAATGATAAATTGAACAAGGAAGAGTTGGCAACATTAATCTTCACATGTTATGTATCTTATACGCAACCGCAAAATTATTAAGTGGCCATTAATTTTGCAGTATTTAATATGCGTTTTAACTACCATAAAGATGTAAAAAAATCTGCTATTAACCGGAAAAATAATAAATTTGAAAAATAAGATTATAAGGGAGAGAAATTTTAAAACGGACGCAAAATGAATTTTTTTTGTATAATGTTATATTTTTTAGTTACACTCCCAACATTCGGCTAGGTTGCGTAAAAAATTAAATTTTTGAAATAAATTTTTAATAATATTGTAAATGTTGATTGTACATGTAATACAATTTTGGTATACATAATATGTTATAATAATGAGTAAAGTTAATGATGAAATAGAATATGAAAAATAATATATAGTTGTGTTAATTATTGTTCAGGAGAAATTGTAAACTTTACAAACCTCAAGTTTAATATTAAATTAGTTGACACAGAAAGAAGAGTTAAGGTAAGACTACTGTACTCAAAAATACTAGAGTAAAACCTAATTATCAAAGCTTTAGTCGCACAAAAATTTCTTAAATCGTATTAATCAAAATCGCTTTGCATAGGTCCGTAATAATTTAAACTTCAGAAATATGAAGGATTTTTTTAACACATTTTGAAGGATTATTTTAACAAAAGACTTGAAAGGACTATGGAAATTATTATAAGGGAATAAAGGACCCCAAAAGATATACTTAAAATTTTAATTAAAGATTTATAAAATTGCTTGTTTGACAAATATTGTTATAAGCTAAAAATCAAATGTATAACACTTCTAAATAAATTCTCCTCCTCTTTAAATACTTATTTAAAAAAAAAATAAAAAGATTTATGTAGTAAGATGATAAAAAACCTGTTCCACTGTTTTTAATTTCACTTTCAACAATAAATAAATATTTTTTTTTTCATCCAACACTTTATAATACTGTATTGAAAGTCCAGAAATGATAACGCGAAAGTAAATAACAATTTAGGTTATAAATCAAGTAATAAAAATTAACTTTTTGTGTTTTGTTTTTTTATACATACATACATCAAAAAATATCAAATTAGATCACAAATTTACTAATCATCATAAAAATAATTATCATATTTATTTGTCGTCTATTGTTTGAATAAACTAATTATTCCAAAGAAAAATCTAAATTAAACCTTTGTAATATAATAGTATCGATATTTTATTGGATCAGAAAAAAATGTGAAAATAAAGGAAATTTAATTTGTATTTTAATAATAAAAATTTAATCATCCTAAATTGTTCGTTCTTCTAAATATAGCCAAAAATCTGGTGGTACTATTGATATTCCATTAAATGCTTTTGTCATATCAGGTAAAGATTGTTCTGGTCTTAAAATAACGTTAAAATTTTGACATATTGCTGTTAATATTAAAAACATCATATTTCTGGCAAATGTTTCTCCAGCACATAATCGTTTTCCTGTAAGTTTAAAAATTTAGTTGTTTAAAAGTTTAGTTGCTAATATTTATCATTGTTAATATCATGTACATATGTACGTATTCAGGAATCATGTAAATTATATGTTAAGAATAATAATTGAAAAGTTAAAATTGAAATTATGTATTATGTACAGCTTGTACCAAAATCCAATATGAATAGAAAGACAATTAATGTTATTATAGAAATTAAGAGTATAAGAAGAATTCAAAATCTCAATTATTATTTTAAAATCGTGATATCTGCTCTGAATATTTTCTCTTATTATAGCATTTCAACATCTGTTATATTTACCCGCTCCAAATGGTAGTGTTTTATCTTTTGAGAGGCACAATTCACCATTTGAATCCAAAAATCTCTCTGGTTTGAATACATCTGGATCACTCCATATATTTTTATCCATGTGAAACGCATAAATTCCAGGTATCATAAGCGTATCCTATAAATAAAGAATTTAATGTATTAAATATATATATATATAAATCAAAGTTCAAGATTCGTTTAAAAAAAATTTTAATTTTCTAATTTTTTATTTGTACATACGCACTTTTGGAATAAAATATCCTTTAAATTCAGTATCAACTAATGCTTTATGTGGAAATCCTGAAGGTGTTAATGATTCAATTCTCATACATTCACGTAATGCTGCTTCCGTATACGGTAAATTTTTACGATCATCAAGTGTTGGTAATCTACTATGTCCAACAACATTATCAATTTCATTTTGAATATTTTTCAAAATATCTGGTCTCAAAATGAACCATTGAAACATTAAAGATAATTGTACTGTAATAGCCAAATTTGCAGGAAATGCAAAATCTACAATACTTAATACAAATTGATCATCTACAAAATAAAATTGGTTTAGATATTATAAGGACTGCATTGTTCTGAATTATACTTACAATAGAAACTCGAATTATTGACACCTTGATTCTCCATCTTTTTCATTTCTTTCACGTATAAATCAATAAAATTTCTTTCTTCATTTTCTTTATACGTTTTCATATTTTTATCAATTAAATCTTTAATAAATATATATAATCCTTTGGATGTTTCTCTCAGTGGTTTAAAACTACTTAAATTTGGAAAAATAAAGCGAATCCATGGCATTATACTCAACAATAAACCGTATGGATCACCGGTTTTATTAAATATAATAGAATCTTTAATTAATTCATTAAATATTTTACGATCATTTTGTGGTATTCTTTCATTAAAACATATATATAAGAATGAACTTAATGAACAACTATTCATAAAATATGGGCATAAAACCTTTCCTTTTTCTGGGAAAAATTCCTTCTCATGAGAATATTTCGGACCAGTTTTTATTAAATTTATCAGATATGATAATTCATCATTTATAAATTGTTCAACACTATCAAATCTTCTACCAAATCCATAATCCCTTAAGTAACGTAATATAAATCGACGTTGTTCTTTCCAAATGGGACCATCATTAAAGAAAATTCCTTAAAATGTAAGTAAATTAAATATTTGAAATTTTACAAATTTTATATTAAACATGAGGGTAGCAATTATAAAAATATATTACCTGTTCTTCCATAATGTGGATCTCTTAAACGAGCTGCCATTACATCAGGTTTTCCATCAAATTCTGGTCGAGAAAACATTTCTTTAATGCCATCATAACTATTGACAACAACTGTATGAAATTCTCCTAAAAATAATCCAATTATGTCCGATTTATACAGTTTACTCAACATCATAGCACCACGACTTGTTCTCTTCCAATCACATAATAATAAAAATAAATAACTACCAAATAATGGTATTTTGGGAGGACCTGAAATTTACAAAAAAAACTGAAAACATATTACGATATACACTATTATGAACAATCCATGAAGCTAATATAGTCAAATTTCATTTCTGCTGTTCATAAGATTAATAAAGTACGTAAATACTTTTTCATTTTAATTAATAGTCTGAGCTCGCAAATAATTTTAATGTTAGCTAGTTTTATAAGCGAATAATGTGAATCTTATTCCTTATCGTAACTACAAATCTGATCTGCGGTGATCGTTACAGACTCTCGTTGTTCACCCTTGTCCACTGTTTTGACAATAACAAAAAGTGCAAATATTTTTGAACATTTTTACATATGTATGTATATTACACTTAGTAGCAAGAACAAAAAGATTTTGAAAACAAATATCAATTTTTTTTTATTTATTTGAACGTAATTGCAATCTACATATTATAAAAATTTTAGTTTTGAGAAAATTTTAGTATTCATATCGCATTAAATTATTCACATATCAATTAACATCATACATGAGTAGCTATAAATGTTATACAGACGTATAGTTAGTCATAAATCACTACGAAGTTTAAACTTACTTAATCGCAAAGTCTTAAAGTTTGCTGTTATAACATAAAAAAAACGTAAAAATTGGTGTTTAATTTTACATACATATACGCATATAACAGTTAGTATAGCGAGTGTAACAAAAATAATGATTGTAGTAAGTAACCTCAAAATCTCAAAATACGTACATACCTCCATACATACATATAAATGTATACTCTAGGATTAAGAAATTTAATTCTTTTTTAAATAAATTGCCCAAAAAAATTTATTTGCTCGGTTATAGTTTATTTTCATATGACAACATTTTATGCGTTATACAATATAATTTATAATAATTATAATGTACAACATTTTGTTATTAAAGCTAATATTAGACTTGCCAAGTATCTTAATTTTGGCGAGAATTTTTCTGAAGTGAATCTTGAATATGTCAGTTTTTTAATTGAAATTTTTATAGTACCCCTTTGCATTTTGTTCTATCACAGTTTTATTTGTCTTTTAAAAAACACTATTTATTTTCTCACTACATTTAGTGTAAAAAATTTCCGATCCTTTTGTATTAAAAAACTGGCAACTCTAATGCATACATAAAATATATGTAATACATAATTTACTTTACAAAATTTTTCACATTAACAAACTTTTTTCATATTATGCACAAGGTATGTAATGTTCATTGAATTTATTGGCAAAAGACTCATAAAAAATTAAAATATTATGTGAATGAAATGATTTCAATAGTTTACAGTGTGGATTTATTTGAAATATGGAAAATGGAGAGCAAAGGAGTATTTAGGCCTTTACCCCAAAGCAATGAATATCAATATCTATATGATACAGTGTATGAAAAGCTACAAAAGAGTACAAAAAACTGCATGAACAAATACACATAACGACAAGATAGGAATCTTTTAAAAATGCGTAGATATGAATATTATACCAAGAACTTGCTCTTAACTGAGATTTAAATTTAAAGAACAACTTATACTGCAATATCATTTTAATATCTACGAAAATATTTCATAGGTAAATTTCAGTTTTAATTTGCTTGTAATTTAATTTGTTGTATTTCTGATATTTATGATACGTTTATTATACATACCAATTAAATAAAAAAATATTACAATATTTTAAAAATTTTTTATTACTACTGTTCAGTTTCTGTACTCTCCAAAATTCAATGTTATAACAGTTTGCGTTAAAATTGAACAGAGGAAAATTAAAAAAGTATTTCCGTAAGCTTTTAAAACGGAACAAAATTTTTCATTTTAGAATAACTGAAAGCTAAAAAAAAATATGAATGAAAGCAATAACAGTGCATTTAAATTCTAAAATGGAAAAATCCTTGGAATTTCGATTTTGATTAAAATACATATTGAGTTTTTATACATACACACTTCTATAATATTCCTCTATATAACTAATATAATATTATATACAAAAAGATGTACATATGACTACCGTGGTTATAATTTTAAAAAACTTTATAACCAGAAATTAAAATTCAATAACAATTTATAATTATTGTTGTTATCAATTATATTGGAATAACTTTGTTTTTTTTTTTTTCAAGAAAATAACATAGAAATAGAATTTTTTTATAATATTTTTTTAACTGATTTGATAGTCTAACACAAGAAATAAAATTTGACCTATTAGAAAAATATTAGATATTAATTTATTGATTAGATTTTGGAGTTTTTAACATTGATTTGTAAAATTACATTGAATTTCCACTTATATTCAATAGAAATTTTTTTTCCTATTTATATTTATATAATTTTACATTACCTGGAGGATATTTATACGGCTTATCTGTACCATATTTATAAAAAAAATATACCACAGAAATTGCAAATAAACTTAATATTATTACTGAAACCATTTTGTATAAAATCCTAGAAGATACTAATTTTAAAAATATCTTTTAAAGATCTTAATCTCGATAGTATCGCCAAACTATAGTGAAAAAAAAAATCACAATCAGTCTAGGATTTATATATGTATATACTCTTTACATAAAGTTTTGAAATTTAATATTTACATTAAAAACAAGCATACTATAAATGCTTTTTTAGTTATAAGGTCATTTTTTCGAAAAAAGTGTTTTAGATTCTTTCAAAATTTATTCTAATATAATTTTTGGTTTCTCGACAAAAGTTTAAGTAATATGCAGGATAATACCAGAAGTATTACCCGAGTTATTAATAAAAATACAAAAATTAGACAGATTTCTGAAATCTTAACTTTGAGATCTCATAATTCGAGTTAAAAAGCTAAATTTCACCAGATGTCTTTTGGAACACTGTATTCGAAAACCTTGAATACCTGCCCATCTTAGGAATATCTGCAAACTAAAATAATGAAAATTTATAAAATTTGATTGTGTAGTCTCAATGTGATTGATTCAAATATACATATTAACAAAATACATGATTTTTTAAATTTTTATTTTATTGAATCATTTTTCAGGAGATTCTTCATTATTTCTTAAATCTACCCTATAGTGTCATATAACTATTTAAAGATACAAAATATTTTAAAAAATTCGTATTTATTCTATCGACTGTAAAGTTTATTATAATTTTCACAAATCAAATAATATACGACAGGTGCTCTCTGATCTTTTGAACTTAACTTATGTTGTATGTAGTTCTGATTTAGTTCATTCATATTTTGACCCACAGTTTATAATTTTATTAAGATTTTAATTTTTCGAAACTATATTTTTTTAATAAAATGTTTTTTTTATTCTATTATAATACTTTAAATAAGAGAAAAAATATTGATATTAATTAAATAAATAATACTACAATTATGATTAAATATTATTCAAGTATGTATTGATAAAACATCAATCAAAAATTGTTAGTTTCAGAGTATTCTGATAAGAAAATTCAATTGTTTAATTTTTAAAAACAAAAACGCAACAAGAACTAGGGTTCTTATTTAAAACAAATTGCGTTATTTCAACTTAAAAGTTTTGATAATTTAATTGTGTATAAAGATGATTAAATTATAACTCACTATATGAGACTATTAAGTGTTTTTTGATAAACAGTGTGTAAAAGATAGATAGTATGTTAATTAAATTCATATAGTTGGCACAATGAGATTCGCTTCAATATGCAAATTAGAATTTTCGTATATCAATCGTATTATTTAAATCTGGGGTAATGTAGAAGTTGTTCAGAAACAATGAACTTAAAAAATTCTACATTCCCAGTGATTTAAAATCCGTAGGGTAAAATCCGGCAAAATCAGGATAAAATAAAATTTTGGATTTGATGAAAAAAAAAACTTGTTGACGTCCACAAAAGATATTTAGTACTTATTGTGTGCTAATAAAATCTTTTAACTATAAAAAATCAAATAAACAAATTTTCATACAGATAGATACATAATTAGTACATAATATAATATCATTCTCATCATAATAATGTGGCGACAAAGCATAATTGTTTGGCCGTCATCTTCTGCGCAAAGAAATAAAAATTAAATTATTGTATTAAAATTTAACATTTATACTCGTACATTTACAACATTTGGCCAGCAATTTGTTAATTTCGTTAATTATATTTTCAAGTATCAATTCGATAAGATAACGGGTTACAAGTTCCAGATCAAATTCCAGTTAAGACTTCATAAAAATTTTGAACATCATTCATATGTTGCAGTTTTTTAAAATAACCCCTGGATTTCTTATTTAAATTATTTATTTTCGTGTTTTCATATACAATAATTTACCACAATGCAAAAAAAAAGGAGAATGTGCGATAACATTAACCAGAAGCATCTTACAAACCTTTTAGAAGAATAAATAAAAATATCGAACTAAGTTTGATGTATAATTTATATCAAAAATTTGAAACTTAAATATATGCGCAAATTATATTTCTATAAATTTTTGTAATGTATGCGGCTTTTGAGAGTCATCATTCCAGAACGGTGAGCAATCCGAGACATTTCTAGGCACTTGTTTAATAAAAAGCTTACCAAACATTCATTGTTGTCGTGATTAACTTGCATTTAACAGCATAATTTTGCATAAATGCGTTTAGACAGTTATTACATATTAATTCAAATATGCAGTATGACAATTTTATATTATAAATACATAATTAAATAAAATATTTTCAATCAGATTAACTTTTTCTTTATTTTTTCATTTTTTCTTCAGGTTTTTGAAATTCTTCTTAATAATTAATATACTTAAAATTATCATCAATTTCTTTCTCTGTAATATATGAATTTTTATTATTATTACTATTATACATTAAACGATTTCTGTTATGCTAAAAATAACGAAAATTTAAAAATCAAAACATGTTTTTGTTACATACGCACTATATTAATAAAAAAAATGCATTATTTTCATGTGGATATATTTCCTTTAGTTTATCTAATTGTCATTTTTCAGTTTTTAAATAATCTTTTTTAATTTACGGTACTGAATTCCCATATTATATTTGATAAACATTATTTAATAAATTTTATTTGAAAATTGAAGAACGGTTGAAGAATGTTTTCAAAGAGTTACTGGATTTGTGCTACTTCTACAACAACTTTCATTCAAATGGATGTTAAAATTTTTTATAATACATTTACTATTCCCGATGCAGCAGCACATAAATAGCTAATATTCCAAGAATTGCATACTAAAAATAAAAAAATTGATTTCAAATTAATTATAGACGACAAAGTCCATTGCAGTCTGTTTTTTTAAATTTTTAATTCTAATTGTTATGTACCTAGCAACATACATTATGTTTATTCAAATTGTATAAAATGAAATAAATATACAAGGCTTCATTTTCAAAAATCTTCTCATTTAAAATATTTAAAAATTAATTGCTATGTAAAGAATATACTTGTAAGTTACACATTTACTCATTAAGTTTAAATGCTTATTGAAATGGGTATTCATTTAAAAGTTGGAATTTTTAATATTTTTATAAGAAAATGCCCGATATTTTTTAAAATATTATACACAATAACAAAAAACTATACTAGTAACTTACTAAGTTTGCAAGTACATATAGGTATGTACACACATATGTAGTTTTTTTTTTTGTTTATGGAAGGCAATAAGAATTCAAATCTGATAAAACAATCGAGTAATCATTTTGCTTAACTCTTCTTATTCCATAAAAAAAATTAATCACTCTTGAAATAACTAAGCAAGTTGTCTCAAGACCGTGGATTTAGAACTATCGATGCGATCGATATCATCCATCATGTAAATGTAAATGTGATATTTAGCAATTTTTCACTTACTTTTAAATTTGGATATTCGTTCATATAAATTGTTATCATTCCTACATACGGAAGGAAACCTCTCGCTCTTCCAACAATGTCTTTCTTATTTAGCCAAAGTTGTCCTGGCGCATATAATCCTCGGTCGTCTACTGAATTGTTGTCTCCCTTTGTTAAGAATTTAACAGTTCCATCTTCCCTAAAATTTATTACAAGAAAAAATTAAAACTGAATTTTTAATACTTTTTGAAAAACACACTTCTCATGTAATTTAATGACTCTATGAACAATCGGTATATCCCGACCTTCTACTTTAAATACAACAATTTCTCCTACACGAACAGGTTCATCACGGTAATTTGTTAAGAAAAGTAAATCCCCCCTATGAAAAGCTGGTTCCATACTACCACTAAGTACAACTACAATTGGAGATTCACTTCCTGTAACAACCATTAAACCCTTCCAAATCATTAGAGCCGATGATACAATCATACCAAAACTTAGTATTTGATAGAGAAACTAAAACAAAATTATTATTCATTCTGTACTTTAAATAAGATATGGCGTATCTTTTTTTTTTGTTTACGTGGACTTACCTGTCGCTTGTCCATTCTTTGAACATCGCTAAGTAATGCATCAACTTGTAATGTTTCAGCTAAGCCCATGATAATTTCTTAACAATATTTTATGGTTTTAAAAGAAGACAGTAAGTTAAGATTTTGGAACTTTATAAAAATAAAACAGATATCTAAAGAAAAAAAATTATGTAGGTATCCTTATACCGATCGGCTAACCAAAAGAATTTAATTTATGCTTTGCTTGGTTTATTTGACGTTTATAAAAGAAATTCGGAATAATTCTGACGTGGTTTTTTCGAAATGTCAACTGTTCTGTTTTGATTTGTTCCATTTCGTTTTTTCCAGACTTTTAATATTTCACACAACGTTTAATAGCGCTCAAAACACAAATTTCCTATTTTATCCCGCTTATTGAATTGAAAGCCAAACAACAAATTAGGTGTTGTTTTATTATTGTTCTATTAACTGAATAAATTTTAAAATGTAAAATTTGTGATTTTTCGTAGTTTAAAAAATTTAAAATTAATAGAAAACAAAAGTTCCTGAACCTCGAAGTGATTTGTTTGGAGGTGATGAAGAATTGGAAAAGATCAGAGGCCGTAAGGAAGTTTTTTCAAAACATTTTGTTTAACACTCGGTAGAAGCGAAATTAACCGGTTTCAATTATTGATAACCAAGTTTTTCTTGAACAAGAATATGGATCCTAATATTTGTTCAATCTCATATAAGTTTTAAAATTAAAAGGGTAAAGTTCAGAATTTGGTATATGTAGGCGCCTACCTTGCAACGTACATCTCGATATCCTGAAAATGTAAAGGTACCACCTGCATTTTTAAACAAAAAAAGTTTCATGGAAAAATTTCGAATTCAGCATTTTTATACGGGAACTCACTAATATACGCTCCCATAAAAACAAATGTTAACCATGCGAATAACTAAAAGCGATGATGATATTAAACAATCTAGTAAATTTTCCAAATTGCTAAATATTCTAAATTAAAAGTTTACATGTACATACATACATAATATCGACTCAGAATAAGAGGGCCATAAAATCCAAACCAAAAAAATTACTTTGAATGTTAGAGAAAAAACGTTCGCGAAATAAAATTTAGCAAAAATGAATTTTTATTTTTTTCAAAAATGAAGATTTTTATGCTTTAGCGAATTGTGTCATCACATTTTTACAATCGTGATTCAATTGTGTCATTACTGCACTCTAAATTCAAGTAAAAAGAATTACATACTCTATACATAAGTATAATCTACATACATACATATGTACCGAAAAAATATGTGTATTGAAAAGAATATTGTTATTACAGAAAAATCCGAAATCATGAAAAAATTAGATTTTGATTTTTAATTCTGTTTCACAGCATATAAAAGATAATATTACTTAAATGCTTAATTAATAAGGCCAGCAAAATAAATAAATTGTGTAAAATAATTTTTCGAAACGATTTTATTGCAACTTAATTTTTTCCAAATTTTGTTACAACAATATTTTTCACTTAAAATTTAAAAGAAATAAAACAAAAATATAAAAATATCTTCATACAAATATATTACTATAATTTTATGTATTAAATACATCGGAAGTACCAAGATTATAACTTGAATAATTATTATTTGGCTTTAATAATATTTCTAATTTTTTAAAACTTTTAAACTTTTTCTACAAAATTTTTCTATATTATGTATATGTGTTTGTATTATATATATTATCAATTTAAATTTAAATTTTAAATTAAATAAATTTTTTGTAATCAATATAACAATTTATATAATGCAAGATCATTCGTAAGCCATTTTGAAATTGATAAAATAATATCACTATATGAGTCTAATTTTAGAAAATAAGTTTTTTGCTTAACAAATGCAATTTTGCTTTATTTAATAATACAAGCGCTTTAATTGAGCTTAACATCCTTCTCAAAAATTTGAATACAACTCTGACACTAATTTGAAACCAAGTAAAATGAATACTAAAGTAGCATGTATTAAAATTTTGATTAGAATTTTAAAACTGTTATATTAAAAACTTTGTAAAACGAACCTAACAAAATTACCCAGACAGGTAGGTTCTAAAATTTTTTGAAAATTTTGTTACAAATTAATTTATAATAACTCTGTTAATAAAATTATTTTGAAATGAAAATTTTCTGAAAAAAAAGTTGTTTTAAGAATTGGATTTCGTTAGTTCGTTAACAAATTTCAATAATTTTTAAAAAATGTAGATAAATAATTACAACAAAATTAGAAATTTATTTATTTCTTAACGGATGAATCAAACTAAATATTATACAAGTATCAGAAAGTTAATTGGTTTTTTTTGTTTGAAAAGAATGAAGTCGTAATAGTATTAGGGAAACAAACGTTCGCAAAATAAATTTTAACAAAAATTAATTTTTAGTTTTTTCAAAAATGAATTTAAAAAAGTACCTAATGTTGATGCAGCATTAAGGTAATATGAAAATAGTACCAATGAACTAAGCTATTAACATGCTGATAAATTTATTGTTGAAATGTTCACAAAATTTATAGTTGGCCTATATGAAATATATTTTCCATGATAAGTAATAAAGTTAAATTACTTTTATTTCACTTATTTTTATTTTAATATACTAACGAACATTTTGAAAAATCGTAATTTTTAATTTAAAATATTTTCTGTTCATCAATTAATTTTTTGTTTATAAAAACAATTTTAAATGCATTTTATTTTTTAGCTTTAAAAGCTTCTGAATGCTCTCGAAAAACTGACCTACATATTTCAACATACAGATATATAACACGTATGTAGATTAATATATATATATATGTATTACGTATGCAAATATGTATATATAATTTCTATATGATATTTTCAATTTTTATTTTGATAATAAATCACTTAATTCTTTACAAAATTTCCAAATATAATATAATATACTATTATTAAATGTCCCCCTTACATACAAATTAGTTCAATTTTTTTATGTACTCTATCACTTACTATTACTTCTAATTCCTTATTTATTTTTGTCATTCTCATTAACACTTATCCTATTTGAGTTAATTAAACCAGTCTTTAATTGACTATTTGGATTTGATTTCATTGTTTGTTGATTTTCAGCCTTTCTCTCATTTACTATACTTAAAGTAATTGCAAATTGGGCAGCATAGTATGTTGTCATTATATAAATCTATAAAGAAAAATATAAATATTGTATAAATGTAACATTTAAAAATAATTTTACATTTTCGTTTTTATTAAATTAATTTAAAAAAAATAATTTTAGATATACCCTTGAATTTGGAATTTTTATATAAAATCTGTCAACAGCAATTATACCATCACTTATTACAAATAAAATACCGCCAATAGCACATAAAATATTTATTATATTTGGTTTATCTCCAGCACGTGCTAATGTCCTCCAGCACATTGTTGTTAAAAGAAATGCATAAATCGGAAGACCAATAACAAGTATCTCATCAAGAGAATGAAAAATTAAAGAAATAACTGAAGAAAAAATAAATTAAATATTAGAATAAATATTTAAAAAAAAAGCATTAGAACATAGTAGAATGTTTGCTATAAATTTACATGAAATTGCAAATGCATATAATCCTATTGCGATCCAAGGTTTAAATGGCTGAAATCCAAATGCTGATATGTAAAATGCTTGGGCAACTGCAAATGATCCCATTCCATGTGGAAATAATGCAACATTAAGTAATGCATCACCAACACAAGAAAATATTAATCCAAATAAAATGCGTTGACAATATTTGCTCCTAAAATTTTCAAATACATAATTTAAACAAAGACCAGAATAATTATTAGAAAATCAAAAAAAATTATCTTACTTTTTTGTAAATTTAAATCCGTATAATAGAATGAAAAACATTAAGCATACTATTGGAGCACATTTCAATATTGTTGTCCATATTTCACCTTTTGGATCAAATGTAACTAACATAAAATATATTGTAACAGCTTTGATAAATGGCACCATACGTGGTCCAGCAGTTTTCAGCTAAATTATAATAAAGAACAATACGTACATATTATGTTATAATTCTATTTTATAGTTTTGATCTTATATAATATTTTTAAAAACTATATTGCATCAAGAAATTTTTTATATCATTAAGAGAGTTAACTTAAATAAGCTTAAAAAGAGGAAATTTTAAAAATATATTGTATAGCAGTAGTTATATTTATACAATGAATTTCAAAAAGTTCAGTTTTACCATTGCAATATTGCAGTTCACCATTGCATGAAAGTGAACTTGTAAGATAAATTGTATGTTACATACCATTTGCAATATAAAACAACTTTTGATAAAAATGTACTTTGTGAATTTAAAATGTATAATATCGTTTAATATAGCATTATATTACAATACGATAGCCTCTTTATTTGTCTTTTTATCGTAAATGCATTGCTAAACAATTAATATTAACTTATAACATACATATATTATTGTGCATTTCTCTTTGAGCTGGATAAATGCTCAATAATTGAGCATTTATCCAGCTCAAAGAGCAAAAAGCTGGATAATTGATTTTATTTTTTTAGGTACTAAACAAAGTGTCAATAATCTTGAAATACATATTGAAATAAATTGTTTTTAATTTTAGAATTCTGTGAATTGCCCTTGGTAGACAAACGATGTTCTTGTTAATTTTGATCATTCTACAAAAAATTAATTTACTTGAAAACGAATAAGAAAATAAATTGGTTTCTAATATCAGCAATTTAATTCTTCAGTTAACACTTAAATTACCATTTTAATAGTATTTTACACTTTAAATTTAAAGTTGTAATCATTCATGCATTTATTTTGAGTTTCGCAAATTAAATAACTATAAAATTCTTTTCCATTCATAAAATTGCCGATTTCTCGAATAAAGAACTTATATGAAATTTCATTGAACTATCGTACCATTATCGTAGTATCTTATCAAAAGTATGGTGCTATTTTAACTTATTTATTATGACAATATTATGATTTTTATTAAAGCATGATTTTAATTTTTTTCCTTAGCTACTTATTAAAACAATCAAAAAAAAATTTATTATACAATACGTATTGTAAATATCTATTTTATTAATATATTTTTTTTTATTTTAGATGACGATTTATTATGCCCGCTACTCAAGTGCAAAAGTTCTCAAAACGTTAATCAAATCATTAAAAAAAAAAACGAAAGATAAAAAATGGATTGTAATGGAATTTTATCAAATTAGTTACCCTAAGCCAACGATCAATAAAAAGTATTAATATAATGTATGATTATTGTATGTACATATATTTATTTGCATCCAATATTATTTGAAGGAATTAACACCAATATAAATAAGAAAAGTTTTATAAATAGATTAACAATTTTGATGGTGCTAATAAAATTATTTTAGCAATTCGTTAAAAATTTAGGAATCAAGTTAAAAATAATGTAAGTATTATGTATACATATTATATTTTTATTAAATTTTTATTTTTAAATAAATAAATAAAGAAACGATAACAAACAGGTTCAAATTTCATGTTATGTCACACGACTACCATAATAAATTTTTTTAATTATAAATTATAAAAAAAAAAACCGACTATGTAGTACACTAGTACTAAACAAATGAAGTTTAAAATTTAAATTGTTAAATGGTTTTTGCGAATATTTAATTAATTAATTTTGAATATGAAATGTAATAGAATTGTCTTAATTATAAAAAAATGAGTTTTGAAAGTTTTTGTTATATTATACATATATTTATGAAATGAGAAAATTAACTTGAAATAGAATTACAATATAATGTACATATTTATAAAATCAAATCAAAACTTGCCAACTAATCCAGAAAGTAATTATATACATACATATGTATATTATGTTTACGTGCATTGTGCAATTTCCGAGTATGGCTTGTAAAGGTTTGGCTAACTAATTCAACGCGCTTTTAGACTCTGTTCGAGAACATGTTTGCCCTGACATAAAAAATTGGTTTCTTAATACAAGCAGGGTGGTAAATTTTTTGTAAGGGTAGAAATGATAATGAAAATTTGAAAACATGATGCATAAAAAAATGTTTCTTTACTATGTATAAGCTCTTAGTACTTAAAAACCGACGCAACTTAAACAGAAAATGCTTAAAATTAATGTTTCTCAAATTCTATTTTTTGTTTTTCTGGAATAATACAAAAAAATTTATTGAAATTTACAAAATTATTACAGCTTTTTTTTCTGTTATCAAACTAAAAAAATTGTGAATTTTATGGTTTTCTTAGTCAAAAGTATGGAAACTACTTGGAATGAAATGTAAATCTCAAAATTTGACTTATTAATGTAGTATGTTTATTAAATAAATTATAAACACAACAAAGCTCGATTTTCTCCTGTCTCTCCTAAAAATTATGAAAAATATGAGAATTGAAATCAATATCAACTTACTACTATAATTTCATAAATTATAATCATATTATAGCTCTAGAGTAATTCTCAATTCGTCCATATAGCTAATATCTTAAACCTCATTAGATGTTTCGAAAGTCTTTTCTCATTTTAGCCCCGTATTTTTATTTCACTTTATTTCTTAAATGATAACATTTTGATATCTATAACCCATAAGATGTATATATACATTTTATACGCATACACATTAGTAAAAACAAATATAGAACATAGAATACAATTGATTTAAATTTATTTTTAAACATTTAGTTACTAAGATAAAATTCAAAATACACCAGCAAAATAAATTGATGTGAACAAAATTTAATCAGGTGAAATTGAGTTCAATTGAATTTCAATTAATTTTGAAAACGCAGATTCAAATTTTTTTTGGAAAATTAATAAGTTTTAATTGAAATTAATTTTTTTTTTTAATAAAGTCAATATTCAGTACTTGTTCGTACCGGTATTTCATATTTTCTTCCAAGAAAAAATTTATTATAAAACAAAGCAACTAAAATTTTGCTCAGACAAAGTTTTTGTTTTTATTTTAAGGTCAAGGTTATTATAAACTTGATAATATGTTTAAAAAATATTTAAATTTAAAACAAAATTAAAATAGAATAGAATAACCGGCAAATACCACACATGTGCTTTTTTTTGAGAGCAAAAAATTTAATTTAGCATTTTCATTAATTTTTATGTATGATACTTTGAATTATTAGAAATTTTAATATTGTTCGAAGTACATAATATTTTTTTTTATAATAAAGATTCAAAATACGTACAATACTGGTAACTCATAAGACTCATTATATAATTTTTCCAACAATTAATTATACAATTTTTTTGTTTTATGTTTAAAACTTAATTTTTTTGCTTTTTAAAGATTTTACTTTTCTAGGCCAATTGACCGACTGAAGGCAAAATATACAATTGGAATGTCAATTTTTTTTCTTATTTTGTTTTAAAAAGTTGAACCCTAATTAGATTTTAAAATTGATTTGCTTTTTTAATTAAAAATATTTTTTATTTAACTTAAATAAATAAGAAAGATTTGAAGAACTTGCAATTTATTTCATATTTTGTTGTGATGTGTTTCTTGATTTTTAATTTGTTAATGAAATAATTTTGGTAATTAAAAATAATAAATTAAATTACAATTCGTAAAGCAGCAATAGAATTCAAAGTTTTCTGTCTGAATTGTATTAATTACGTTATCATAAGATAAAAGATACGTTAATATTCATACAGTGTACTAACGTTTAATTTTGAAAATTTCTCTAGAATGAAATTATTTTAAGTACACACTAACTAAATTATTCTAAATGTGAACCAAAAAAAAATCTGTACATGTATTTAATTATTTATTTACGTGCTTATACTTACTAAATTTATGTGTTCCTCCATTTTGGCTGTTTTGTTTTAAAATTTTCAGACTCTTAATTGTTGTTTAATTTTAAAATAATTAATTTTTCTTAAATGTTTTTTCTATTTTCGTTTATATTATTTGTAAATGATGAACTGTTTTATTTTTAATATCCATTAAAACCATTAAAGAAAAGTTTATTTAAAGAAAAATTAACAAAAAAATTAAAAAAAATTAACAAATTAATTTTTCTGTTTCACTATAAGGAAAAAAAAAAGAAGAAAAACCAAAAAATCACATTCCCTCACGAAAACATCTTCTCGCAAGTAGCGTGCGATTTGTACTGTGTTTAAAGTATTAAAAATTTTTGCACTTTATTTTGTTGGGGTCCGATTTTTTATTTTATTTTTTTCTCATTTTTTTTTTTATGTATTTTTATTTTATTATGGTATTTTAGTTCATAAAATGATAACTTGAAAATATCAGTAAAATTGTAATAAAACTATAGTAATGGGTCGATAATGAAAAGCTACTAAGAGAAAAAATTAAAATAATGTTAAAAGTATAATCATAAATTCGAAGAACTTTGTAAACTCTCATTTTCATCAAATTTTTCGAATATTGCTTTGTTTTTAAGTTCTCATTATAAAATATGAATATATATATGTATGTAGGTATATAACGAACACAGTTCATAACATGAGTGGATTTTGTAAAATAAGGCAGACATCGTTATTATAATGTAGTATAACAAATATATTATACATATGATAATATCTCAACAAATTTAAGTAAATACCGTATATTATCCAAATAAATTACTAAATTCAAGATACAATTGTGTAAGATACTAGTTTTAGATCTACGTTACATGTGTAAAAATAAAATTGTTTGGAAAAGATGTCAATTATCCGGAACGGCATGTGAATTATTCTAAATCAGTTTTTTTTTGTAAAATAAATCAATTCAACCTTAAATCTTACAATCTTAAGTATTCGAAATTTTCTTCGAAGCAAAGGTAACTAATACGTAAATACATAAGTATATGTATATGTATACAAAGAAATCCCAGAAATGACTTAATCAGTTTTTGTTTCTAGTCTTTAGACAAATTATTTTCTTTGTCATTCAATGTATCCCTTATAAATTGACAGACTAAATAAAATAAAATATTGAAAATATTTTATTTACAAATAATGAGACGACTGGTGACAACGCCATTGTTGTCTGTCAAGTTTTTTTATTTTTTTATTTTTTACAATTTTCTTTTAAAATTCAAGTTTATCTCGCGAATTTTATTGTTTGTTTACAGTCACTGTAACTTGTATCCACATTTTTGTTATTAATATTTTTGTTATTTTTGAGAGAAAATAGTTTTTTGTTGATTAAAAACTAAAGCTCTAAATATAGAATCTGTTGTATGTAATTATGTATTTATGTATATTCATTATAAAAGTTCGTAACTGTGGTGAATGACCGTAAAATTATAAATAGTATGCTACAGCTACGAACATATTTACATATATATTTACAATACACATGTAAATATGCAAATGCATGTCTCAAAGCAGGGGTGTAAAATAATAAACATGATAGCTATGTAATAAAATTGAATTTTTGAGTAATTCTTGTTACATAGTAAAGTAAAATTACATAGTAAGTTTTAAATTTAATAGCAGTCTTTATATGAAGGTTTCTATGAAAGTTTTACAACTCAAAAACCAATTATATTATTTTGTAATTCATACACTTCGACAACCCTTTTATGTTTTAGATTTTTGTTTTTTGTAGCGTTCTACTAAAAATTTTATAAATTTATTAATAAATTATTATAATGACTCAAAACAATATTTCATACGACTTTGGGGCTAAAAACATCGATAAGAATTTCAAATTTATTCTTGATCAGCAAAAAAATTTATGAACACATGTTTTATTAAATACATAATGCGTTTTTTTTTCTTTTAATTAATTTGATAAATTTTGTATACAAAAGACTTATAAATATAGGCAATACATACAAACATACATATGTTTACCATACTCTACATAACATTTTTATACATTTTTAGAATATTTCAAGTTTACGTGAACTTAAAATGAACTTGAAAACTGAAACCTGTTTATATTATTTACTGGAGAAATTTTTACTAACTTTTGTTACCCTTTTTGTTAATTTGTTTATTTCTACTTGTTTTGAAGTTTTTTGATAAATGTGCTTATTAGGGTGATCCAATTAATTTCTTTTTCTTCACATTATTAAGCAAATATATTCATACATATGTTGTTTAGTAAAAGAATAATGTTTGCAAAAAAAATATTGTTCATAATAATTTATTATAGTTGTCTAAACAAAGTGAGGAATAAACAATATTTTATAAATTTTTATAATAAGAGAATACATGATTGAATAAATATGAGAATGTGCAGTAAAAACTCAATATAATATAAACAGTAAAATTAACACGATTCATTCTATACGTGTACTGAACGGGTATTGTAATTTGGCGTTAATGGCATTAAAACTTTAGTATACTAGGAAGTGTACTTAGGAGAATCGTTTTGTGCCAAATTCTTATGTCTTTTACAATGACAGCAAGTTATCGTAAGAGTAAAGAATATTAAAAACAATATTTTCTTATTAAAAAACTTCATTTCTGTAATCTAAATATTAAATTTAGACCACTTATTTGGAAAACAGAATCAATTTAGACTAATTTTAGGCTTATAACAAACTAACATATTAAAGATTAGCAAAGATTCTATTCCATTTGAATGTTTTATAGATTCTAATATGTATAAACAATTTGAATATAAGACAAATCGAAATAATTTTATATAAATAGCTACTAAAAAAAAAAATATTATACAGCTTTTATTTATTAAACAATGAATCATCCTAATTCATTTATTATTTAGATTTGCGTGCGACTAGTTAGCATGTGAAATTTAAAATATAATTTTAAAGTAGAGAGAAAAATATTTTAGTAGATAAAGAGCATTTTATAAAAACAAACAAAAATAACAAAATGGAAAGAAAATTGAGTAAAAAGCTTTTCTATTCTAATTAAAGAATAAACTGAGAACTTGGGGGTATTCAATACAATGTTTAAAGGATAGATCCCCCATCATTTTGAATTAGATTTAAATAATAATTGTGCACAATATTTTCATGCGTGTTTACATGAAAACTTTGAGTTCAAATAAAGAAATAAATATACGGATTTATCAAAAGCAAGTGTATGTATGTACGTACGTAAATAAGAGCTGTGAATTTTTTCCGACTTTCATAATCAAAAATGTCATTTTATCTCTAATTTTTTATCTCAAATTTTCCTACTACGTATGATGTTATCTTTAAAAATATTTCTATAGTGTCAGAGTATACTTTCATTTACTCTTATTCACGTAGAGATTATTCGCAAATTTCTAATGCTCTAGAAAATAAATTCTAAATTTAAAATTTTGTGAAATTATGAATGTTTTAAAAGTTATTTTAGCGTAGCCACAAGCAACATTTGTTTAGTGTTTCCTTTCCTTTTAATTTTAAAAAATTATGTTTGCAAATATGTAATAATTTACACAGTTTAAAGCCATCTGAAATAAGTTTATCATTGAATTCTGATTCCTTACATAGCTACTCAGGAAAAATTCACATTTTAGTAGTTTAAAATAACGTTAACTTTTTTCACTGAAATATTTCTTACCTATTTAACTAGTAATCAACTGTGACGCTAATATACAGGTGCCTACATATAATTTTTTTTCAAAATTAATATTTCTCCTAAAAAAGTTTTTAGCACTTTTATACATTTATCTTAACAATGTTTAAAACCAAGTTAAATTATTAAAGCTAAAAATGAATTTTTATAAATCATTTATTTAATCTATTTTTTATACTTGGCAGCCCCGTATTATGATAATTAGTTATACATGAATACATGAATTTTATATGTACATGTACGTAATGAATAGTGATTGAGAATATTAGAAAGAACATAATTTACAAAATGCAACTTTTATAGCCCATTATGAAGCAAAATAATGGTAATAAAATATTTCCGCAAATACTTATATAGTAGATATTTATGAAGCAATTATTAAATAATTATACATGTACTCCATATCTACACATGTACTTATATATATACACATAGTACACATCATTTCGCACGTGAATTTTAGTTCAGGCTCATTTAAGCTGACAATAAATTCTAAAAAAATACAAATTTTACGTAAACACTAACACATGTATTATTATAAAGTAAAGTAGTTGAGAGTAGAAAAATGTGCTCTTGATTTTTTTTAATTTTGCCGACCATATTGCATACAATAAGAGAGGTATTTTGATGGCGCCAATTTGACATATCTAATTTTCAACAAAAATGAATTTGTACGATTCATGATAGGGATACGTAATCAAATGGCTTTTATGGAGATGTTGGCTAATTGGGGTTGTGTTTCGATCTCATTGGTTTGAAGCTTATCTGTCCTGAATTTAATGAAAATTTATGCCTGTATTTGCTTTAGCCACATAAAAGATTGTTCAATTTTTGAAGTACATTTCTACTGTAATCCTCAGCTACTGAACCAGTATTGCGAGTCAAATTTGCAATATTTTACAAAAAAATATCAGGCCTTGAAAATTTAACTAAGGGCTGATTTAACATTTTTGATAATACGAGTATCTAATTAAGTGAGAGAATTTTTTTAACTTTAGTATTCAAGTATTGTACCCAGTGAAACTAACTAACAAAGTCGAAAATTGGAACCCTATCGTGCCTCTACTAAGCAACAAATTTCCACTTTTAAGAGTATGTGCATATTAACTGAAGGGTTTCTAGAATTTAAAATAAAGAAATTTTGTAGCGCATTTTTGTTAACCTAATAAAATCAAATTTATTAGAATTTGCTATCAGTTATGTGTTGACCATATTAATTTTTGTTGATTCCGTTTAATTAAAATTACTCTCGATTTTGATTTGAAATTACAACGATAGTACAAGTTTTTGTACATATATTTTAATTTTTTTTTCTAATTTTGTTTTCTTTTTTGCCTCATTATCATATAGTTTAATTTATGATACCTAATGTATGAATGAACATGTGAATGTATGATATTAGAATTACATACTTAACCCACTAAGGGTTGGTGTAAAATATAAATGCATATAATATGTATACTTGTATGTATGTACATAAAAGTTTTGATATTGTGATTTATATCGAGCAGTTTTCCACGTTTTATTTCATAATAATATCATTAATAACTATTTTGAATTTGAAGATAATAATATTGACCGTTTCGAAGACCTGACGGTATCAAAAAAGACCTTTCTAACACAGAATTCCAATTTCTAACATGCGAAACTTAATCTTACTTAACCTTAATTTCATAAAAATTTTTACTTATAATTTTTTCTTATTAATGCTTAAAATAAAAATATCAAATTTTTAATATAAGCTTCATAAATTTTAATAAAATTTACAATTTTTAATCTGTAATACAGACGTGTTCGTAATTTTACTCAAGCTACAAGCATCTTTTCAATTTGAAAACGGTTTTTTTCTAAATTCGTTTAAATTATTCCTAACACAAAAAAAAGGAAAGATTTAATTGAAACTACATTCTCTTTAATATTTATTAAAAATTAACAGTTTCATGTGGGGAATTTTTAAATAATTTTTATAATTTTAGGGCACATTTAATATTTCTAAATAAATAAATAAGTATCAAAATAAATATTTGGGGATAATTGACATAAGTTAACCCAGAACATCACTGTTTCAAAGCGCTTAACATATTGTATGAAAACCAGTTACGAATACCTGTCTAACGATATTTAAATTTCTAACTAAATAGTGGTTAAATAAATTATATCTATTTATAACCACGTAATATGTACATTCATATATACATAGATACATACATATATAAAAATATATACCGGGTAGGTTATACCGATTTTTTTTTTTTTGCAGTAAATTTTTTTACAATAAGAAAATAAATTTTGTATTTCCAGGTCAATTATTCTCTGTATAAATATTTGAAGTGGTTTAGACAAGACTTGTATTATGTAACCTTTTAGTTTAATTTTAATATTCCCAAAAATACGTTGGACCTCTTTAGCTGTAAGTTTGTCTAATTTTCTCTATTCTTAATATGATATTTTATTCGAAATTTTTCCCGGAATTTTAAATTTATTCGAATTTCTATAAAAGCAAAAAGCTGAGGGTAAATGTATTTCCGTCAAAATAATTATTGCATAATTTACTACCAAAAATTTCTTTTACACCAGCGACCCACCCTAATATACATAATATGTATATATACAAGTATATGTAACCCAATTGTTTATAAAAACAAAATATTTTTTTATCACTAAAAATTATGATTTTCATTGATCAAAAATTCTCATTAATATTATATATGTACGTTAAATAATATGAAAATATGTACATAAATATGTATCTATAGTATATACATTATATACTGATTTGTTGTATTTATATTATATGTAAGTATAAATAACATATGAATTTGCTCGTGCAAGTAATTGATTTTAGAGGGTGGCTTTTTGGTTTTTGTTTTTTTTTTTTGCTTTAGTTTTTCACAACATTTTTTAAGACGTAATACTGTTATGTACTTATTTCATTAACATTCTTATTTACGTATGTATTTATATTATTATATACTAGCAATTATAGGCATGCCGTTGATTTTCAATATGAACTTTGCATAATTTTTAAAAAGTATTATTTTTAATGACAAAATTATTTTTTTTTTTAATTTCAAATACACGTAATGGAAACACTTTTTAATTTTGGAAATTAAATAGCTTATTACATACCTATTTGTTTATACATAAAACTATCATATGTGTAAACGTATGTACCTATAGAAATGTATAGTGCATACGTATGTGTGTATGTATTTATTTATTTTTATTTATTTTTGCGTTGCATAATTTTTCTTTAAAGAGAAAAATTGTTTTTCATTCAATTAAAAAAATTTTTATTAAATGGGTATCAAATTTCAAAATATTTTTTTTTCTTTTTTTTTGTTTTTTATTAAATTGACTCAATATTTTATTAAGATATTTTTATTAGAAAATTGCATTGGAGCAAATTTTATGAAAAATTCTATTATGTTTTTCTTCTTCATTGTACTTTTTATACCAAAAACCTATGATAATTTAAAACACCTTTATTGTGGTTTATTGATTTTATTTTGTTCATTATGAATTTATTTTTTTTTTTTGGATTTTTATATTTTAATTAATAAAAAATTTATATTTTCATTTAAATTAAATTTGTTTTTCATTATTTGTTGTGTATTATTCGAAGGAAGTTCAGGGATTCACTATAGAAACTTTGAAATTCTTATTTAGGAAAATTATTTTATTTTTTCTTTCTTTTTATTGACATTTCTCACTCACAATAATTGCAAACAATTCCGATCAAACCTACCTTCACAAAAAGTGTTGTTTGTTTGCCTGTTATTGTTTTCATGGCTGTATAGCTTTAAATTTTTTTTTTGCAAATTTTTTTTTTTTTTTTTGTAAATATTCTATTTCTATGTTATTATTATTGGAAAAATTTATATTACTTTAACGGTGGGGTGTTTATTTCTTACTACACACATACTAATAATAAAAAAAAAAGTAGGAAAGAAATCAAAAAAATCATATGGTCTTAGATTTGTTTTTTTTTTTTTGTTATTTTAAAGGCTTGTTATAAAATTGAGCTTTTATTGAAAACAACAAAAAAAAAATAAGTGTTTGTTTGTAGAAATTTTATGTCTCTATAATATCAAAAAATGTACATATTGGTGTTATCGTTTTGGTTCGATTAAAACCTTTAAACTAGATTTTTAACTAGACGTGTAATAATACGAAATCAATCGTTTTTGTTTTCAAAAAAATTTTTTACTGAATCTAAAAATTCCCAGGGAGAAACGGTAGATAAAATTAGAAATTTTTTTAAACAATCTTTAAAATCTTTCAAAGTAAATCGTCTTGTACAGCATGATAATTCTTGTAAATATTGCAGACATAATGTGTATACTCGTACATGACAATAAAATATTTTATTTGAAAGACTGACATTTGAGAATTAATCACTAATATAAATAATATTGATAATAAAGAGCAAATAATTTTAAAATTGCAAATAATTGTAGTACTTTTATAATTTTTTCATATTTTTTTACCAAAAATGCTACTTTCACGTAGTAAACTTTATTCACTCTCATATATTTTTTGCAAAAAACGAAAGTACTTGCACGCAACACATACATAGGTACTTAATATGATAGGTACATAAAAACATATATATTCAGTATGATTTAAAACTAAAAAGTAAAGAGTATTTATTATTTTGCATAAAAGAAGAGCGCAAACGCTCTACATTCCTATGGGAGATTTTAATTAAAGAATTGAAAAGAAAAAGCTCATCCATTTGAGAGTACATACATAAAATACTTTTCTCACATATTGTTACTTATAAAAGTATAGATAAATATAATATTTTATTTATGTTTGAGTTTTGTTTTTAAGGTGGTTTATGTTTTTTTTTTAGATAATTTGGCATAATCCCGTAAATCAAAATAAAAGGTGATGTGTAAACAAAAAAGTCAAAATTCATAAATTTATGCACCCACAAAATTTTGTATATATTGTTTTATATATATACATATATATTCTATAACTTCGACCATAATGTGTGTATTACATTATCTACTCACGTCTACTCAATATTTATTTTATTAGATAGGTTAATCTTTGGTTGGAACAAAATGAAAAAAAAAAAATGAAATAGAAGTCTTTTTTACACTTATTATACAATTAGATTAAAAATGACAACCACACTAGTGCGACATTCGCATTTTATTGCTTTATTATCAGTTTACTCAAATTGTAATTGTCATGAGAATTTGTAATTGTTCCTGAGCACTATAGGTTTAAATTGTTACTCTTTTACTGTTTGAATGTTAAGTACTAGTTACTTTTAAAAATAATTTAATCTTTAAAAATTGTATCTTGTATGTATGTATAAAAAATATTTTATCCAAAATATTTAGCACGGTTTAAAACTATTTAATATTATAAATTTTCAATTTTTCTTATAGATATGATAGCTAGGACTTTGTTTTTCTAAATATTTAGTACGAAAATATTCATTTTTTTATTTTTTTTGAAAGTCATTACAAATTTTATTTAAATTGTAAAAATTAATCATAATATAAAATAAAAGAAATGTTTTTGAGTCAGGGAATTGGAATTAAAAGCATTAATAATTTGTCTTCATAAAAAAATCTACTTTCATGCCTTTTGGGAATTCTTAATTCATAAATAATTAAAAGTGTATATAGTATTTATATATCATGACCTTCAATTATTGGCATATGTTTTAATTTTTTAACTAATTAACTAATAATTTTATAGAGCCATATAGTAAAAGCGCTCATATTTGTATAACAACCACAATAATACATATTTTAATATTATGAAAAATCGTTACGAAAATTTTATTGTGTATTGTTCAAAGTGACCTTCATAATAATGTACTTGTATCCTTAAGGGAATAATTTAGTTCGAGAACAAGAAAAAAAACATTTTGAATTTAATTAAATATTCTGTTTTCCAGAATATTTTACAATTTTTGTTTCTATTGCATTAAACTTTAGTAAAAAGAAATAAAGCAAACAAAGAATTATTAAGTACCTATTCACAATTTATCTGAAATTCTTGAATATTGTTTTATGTGGCTCCCATACGTGAGTTTATCCTAAACTTATGCAATTTTTTATAAAACAAAAGTTCTTGCATGCACAGTTATACACACATAATTTTTTATTTTCAACTGAAATTTTAATATTTCATTAGCATAGTTTCAAATAACATTACATAAATAAATTTCTCATTAAATTAAAGAGCGCGAAGACTCTCTTCAAATACAAGTTATAGGTTTAACATTCGATATAATAATTCTTATTCAAACATTTTTTAATTTAATATTTTTTACACTTACATTGATAATCTATTTTTTAGAATTTAATAAGAATATTGTGTATAAATTTTGTATAGTTTTTTCGTAAGGAAATCTCTATTTAAATAACATCAATGTATATATAGTAATTTTCAAACTTTAAACACAATTTAAAGCAATTAATATTCATAAACGGTCCCTTAAAAGCGGCTTTTATTTATCCATTTACAGCAATTTAAATAATTGCTTTGAGCGCTTCTTCAATATGCTCATCCAATGATGCGTTTTGATTTACTGTACCATGACGATATGTCTCTAAGAAATAACAAGTATCACCTTCACCCTTGTTTGGATATTCTTTTGGTAAACATTCTGGTTCGCGAGGAATTAATTCGAAATTGAAACCTTCATGTTTTGTAAGCCATCTAAAAAAGAAAAATCAAATTATAAATACTTTCGAAAATTCTCTAATATATTTAAACTTTAGTAGTTGTACATACGCTTTGGTAGTTGGGCTAACATTAATACGGCACGCTTCACTACCAGATTCGAATTTATTGGCAATTGTTACATTATGCCCAAATAGGCAATAACGTGGCATTTTTCTCCCAACTACTCCAGCTAGAACTGTTCCAGTATGCAAACCAATTCTCATTTTTATATGTTCACCATCTGGTGTATTGTGATTTGAACAGGCTTGAATCATTTTTAATGCCATCCATGCTACTTTATGAGCGTCATATTTACTCGCACGATGTAATCCACTAGCGACACAATAAGCATCACCGATAGTTTCGACTTTATATACATCAAAAATACCACAAAATTCATCAAATACTTTATATAAACTTTCAAGCATGTTAATGACCATAAATGGAGTAGCCTTTGAGCAAATACTTGTAAACCCAACTATATCACTAAATAAGCAAGTAACATCTGGGTAAGTTTTTGCATCAATATTAGCACCTAACCATAAACGCTCAGCAATTTCTGCTGGGAAAATCATGTGTAATAAACTGACATTTTTCTTTCTTTCTTTTGTGACAGCAGTGTTTGCCTCCTCAATTGAGCTCTTAAGCTTATCCATACGGCGTCTCAAGCCATCTTGTGCACGGGCTTGTTCCCCCACCAAAATAACTTCTCTTGTTGCATCATGCAAAGGAATATCAGAAATAAAAAGACCATTATCAGTTAATCCGTCCAAACCATCCAAAAATGGTGAACCCATAAATAAAAGTGAATTAGATTCTGGACAGAAAACCATTTGGCCTTTAATTTCTAATCCTTGTGATGGAAAATCTGTAACATCTGGAGGACTTTTAAGCGCAATTAAAAATGGAGTATAAGTTCTGCGAGCAATGTCACGAAATTTAAGTGATAAACTTTTTGGACGTTTAAAATTTAAGTATGTTGTGGCCAATTTTCCATATGTACTGAAATATGATTTATATAATTTATTGAAACCTCGACCTAACTGTACAAATTCCAATTTTTCATTCATAATGAAATGCCATGGAAATTGTTTACAAAAAGTGGCCATATTAATTTTTAAATCAGCATTTGTTGATGAAGTTTTTTGTAGTTTTGGTTCATCATCTGCCTCATGTTGTTCATCAGCTGAATGAAATAAATAACGATATCGTCTTGGATCATTTTCAACAGGTTCAATTTTAATATGAACATTAATGCCGTATAATATACGTGTTAAAGCTTTTAATGATCCCAAGAGAAGCCATGCAATGACAGGACGTTCTGAAGTGAAAATCAATTCACCGTCACCGGCACAAACAAAACCAGTATCAGTTACGTCTTCCTAAAAAATATTATCAAATAAAATTTTAATTATTTATTTGAAAGACAAAATTATTTGTAACCTCCTGTAATTTTAAGACATCATAAACTCCATCTAATGATCCCAAAAATTCCTGTAAATCAGTTCCAAGACAACGAAATGCTCTCTCAATGATACCATTACAACAAGATGTTATTAATTCTTCGCCAAGTAAAACTAAAATTTCACTTGCACTGTCTTCATCCATATCGAGTAAAGTGTCTTGAATATCAGATAAATAATCATAGTTTGGATAGGTTTTAAGTGTTTCCGGACTAACTTTTCTATAAATATAAAAAATTTTAGTTAGAAACTTTAGTTTATGGTAAAAAAGAGTTTTCTTCAACCTACAGGAATATAAGATTCGGCCATTTTGTCGAATATTTGTTAACCAATGCTGATACTGCAGTATTTAGGTCGTCATTCTTTTAGAACATAAAATATAATTAAATATACAATAACCTTACTGATAATCGAAAATATTCAATTTGAACATAGCATAAGAATAAAAACTTACAGAAGGTTCAGTTAATAATTGTATTGCCATTTGTAAATGTGTCAAAGTTAATGCATCATCAGGTCTCTCTGATAAATCATCTTCTCCAGTCCATAAACCAGTTGTAGTATCAGTTGTTCCCGTTGATGTTTGTGATTGTTGGCGACGAAAAAAAGGACATGCCATTTTTCTGTGTTTTTTTAATCTTTAATTTTATTAACCTTCGAATTAAAACGAAAATAATTTATTATTAACGAAGTTAGTAAATATAGTTTTTTATTATGTACACATCATATATATGTATAAATTATGTATTCACAGACATAAAAGCATAATATTATATATATATATATCTTTTAAATAAAAGTATCTATAACAAAAGGATTATCCTTCTATGAATTTTGACCACTTCATCTACACAATTAGATTTTCTTTACAATTTTTAAACTTTAAATGTTCTAAAAACTTATACTTAAAAATAATTCACTAATTTTCTATTGAAATTATTATTTATTGGTATTATTTTTTAAAAAATATTCTTTATTTACCTTCAAATATCCTTTAAAATTTTTTATTGAGTTTTTATTAAAATTTTCATTTGATATCTGCAGTGCTCAACATTAGAGAATCCTTTTGATATTAAAGAAAAAAATTTTATTTAGTGAGAATTTAAAGAAAAAGCTTACCATAAACTCTCAGAGAAGAATATAAAGAGAAAAAGACACAAAAGAGAAGTAAAATAATGTTTTTGTATAATTTTGCACCGAAAAAAAATTTAGTGTACAATATTTATAATTTTGGTTTACACCAATGAAAAGCTGAAAAAATAAATAGATCTTCAAAGTAATGGGCACATTTGTAAATGCAAATTTTAAGAAAAATAATTAATTATTTTTAAATGGTTTAAGAGAAGATTAAATTCATTGGGTTATTGCAACTTGTGGCTCTGTTTTGCATTAGAAAAAACATATTCTGCGTTTGAGTAATTTGATTTTAGCTTTCAATATGAAAAGTTTAATCATTAGAACTTGGAATGACCAACTTTAACTAGACAAGTTTTTTTTATTTTATAGCAATTTTTATGAATTGAATTTGAAATCAGAAAGTAACAGTCTATCTATCTAATGTACTTAAATTATCTACTATAACTGCAGAATTCAAAAAGAATTATTTTATTTCCGTTCGACAGTCAAATCAAAAACAATATTCCACTTTCATTTAAATTTTTAATTGAATGACACATTAGTTTGGATTGTCCAAACAAAAAAATTATATAAACTTTTTTACTTTAAATTTCTATAATCTTTAGTTATATAACTGCCTGTAGCTGAACGAATGTAATTATATGTAAAAAATTTCTACTTTTTCTTCTTCATCTTTTTCTTGTTCACAATTTTGTCATCTCGAAAGTTTCAGATTTTTTTTTTTTTAAAAACAATTGAAATTTAATATAGTAAAAATATAATCTTACATTTTGATAACTCTTACTACTTATTGAATGTGAAAAATTAGAATGCGACTTACGCCATCTGTCCACTGATGTATTTGAATATATAAAATGGATACATATATAAAAAATAACAATGCATCCAAAGTTTTGAATAACCTATCAATACGGTTATAGCACACTAAAAAATTTAACGAGTATTATAATTAAAATTGGTTGTGGGGCTACAAGTTCTTCCAGTAATTGCCATATAACTTAGAATTAGCTAACATAGAACATAGAATTAGCTAGTTAGGACATGTTCTGAAAACTATAAAGGTTAAAATATTTAAATTTTGTATTAAAGAGTAGAGTAAAACAGTCACTATTCCGATAAAATTCAATTATTGCTCTTATAATAGCTACAATACAACTAAAAAATTAACAGCTGATATATCGGAAACCATTAAACCTAGAGAGCTCAAATTTTGCCTTGGAGGTTGATTTTAATAGCAACTAATCCGACAGAACAAACAAGCAATTTCATACATACCGTAAACTCCATTTTTCCCCACTTCGCTAAATCTTACTTTTAGCATAAGTACGTTTTTCTATAATATTTCAAATTTATTCAAAGTCGTGACTATGCAATAGTACAAGTATGCAATCCTTTTATTTTTAAACTATAGTCAAAATTTGGGAAGTTTCTATTCAAAAAATTGTTTGCAAATTTTTTTTTTTTGTTCTTCCGTTTAGTTTATCCTGTTTTATCATTCCGACTTTTCATACTTTTTGTTTCTGGTAGACACGAGCCAGATTTTTATTGTTTTTTATTCTTTTGACATTTTTTCACATCGTACTGGTATGTACTACATCGTACTGGTATGTATACATATGTATGTACATATGTATATAATGTATATAAACTCTGTCACAGCCACATGTTACAGGATGATGTATTTTTATGACTAGGTGTGTATATTAAGAGAAAATAATTACCGGCTATCAATAATTTACAAATTACTCCTGAATAATTTACAAATTATTGCTGATTGATGATTTTTGCTCCTTTCAAGTTCACACATTCGTCTAATCAAATTTGTCATTTATTACTTACATACATACATGTACTGATGTCATTTATGGCCTTTGTAACTCTTCTAAATTTTATTAGGTCCTTTAATTCACATATAATGTGTACATAGGCAAAAATTTATTTATTTATTGATTCGATTAGAATTTATAATTAAATCTTTTAAAGATATTTACATATACAATACGTAGACATTGTTTTCACAGCTATAGTGTTTAATTTTAATTAATAAATAAATGATTACTATTATTTGGAATAGGAAAAATTAAAGCTGAAAAAATCTACAAAGATAATCTTAAAAATCGTCTTAGTTAAATTGAATTATTTGCATTGTTTATGCTTGTTATTCTAAAATTATAATATGCTAAAAATAATTAATAATCTCTTCTTAAACTCCGCTGAGTCGAATGATATTGGGAAAATTTCCAAAGTGATTCCAAAGCGATATTTAAATTATTCGCCATCTATGATCATTCGGTATCTACTGATATTTAAATTATTCGTGAGCAATGGATGGAGAGTTTGAATGAATGCAATATTATATTTAAAGAAAATTTAATATTACATGTATTGTCAAAATCAAATTTCAAAGAGAATTCGCTGAAGTCGAAACAAAATTTTCTATGAATTTATTTATTAAATTGTCATAAAATTTTTACCATAATATCACAAGTAACGTAAGAGTACCTCGATTTTGATGTCTATACAAATATTTTGAATACATCTATTTCACTTTTGTGTTAACTTCTATATATTAAAACATTTAATATAAAATGTTGTCAGTGTTTAAGATTACAATTATTTAAAAAATAAAAGTAAATCTTATTATAATTTAAACAAGAAGAAAAAAAGTAAATTAATTGAATCACACTAAAAATTAAGCACCATACAAAAGCAAAGACGATAAAAAAAAATTCAAGGATTTTGAGAAATTTCAAGGTGAAACGCGTAAAATGAACTTCAAGTATATTACTTGTTCTTACCCATACATAATATGGAATAACGAAGGGCGATAAGAATTATGAAATTATTAATAATAGTCTTACTTTTAACAGTGTCATAGGTTATATGTATATAATATACAGCATGTGTGTACGAACATATTTCATATTTCATATTAATAAATGAATACATAATGTATAAAAGTGCACAAGAGCTTATTGATTAAAAGAATCTTCATTTAAACAAAAAATAGTAACGAAGTAAAACTTAATTTTTCATATTAAAATATTGGTACTCGTACCTGCAATATGTATATATATATGTAGATATATCAATAACTTTGTAGACATTTTAAATATGTATAAGAATTTACGTAAAGCAAATATTTTCTGAATTTTAATTTCATAGCGTTCTTATAAAATTATATGTACAAGGTGTTCAAAAATATGCAAAATGAATTTTTACGCATGAATTTGCACCCTTTGCTATTAAAAAAGTTATTTTATTCAATATTCAATGTTCAATTCATTTTACTTTATAAACTGTTTTATGTGACAACATTTGAGTCTTAAATGGTATGATTGAAAAATAATTGGCTGTCTCGATATTTTTACAAATAAATACTTTAATTGTAAAAACTTACAAAAATTTATTAATGTTTATTTTTTTATTGTTGTTACTATTTTTTCGTTATTTGTGTGAATCGCTGTCGTTTATGTGAACTTTTGTGGTGTTTATTAAACCATTGGTTTCATATGTAAAGGAACACATTTCTACAGTATGGAAAGAAGGGGAACCGTCGACTTAGAAGTCACATTCAACCTCCGCGGGCATTTTGTACGACCCCCGCCACCTTTGTATTTATATCCCTTTTAAATATTCAATTATTTTCAAGTAAAAAAAAATCTGATTATGTGCTGACCACACATAACCGACCGCATTGTGTATTGCCTAGTTAAGTAAAACTGTTACAGAATATTATAAAAATGTTCTTTAAATACTTCTTTCCAATTTTTAGGACATTAGTACGCTTATAGTTAACATACCTAGAAAAATGTAAATTGGGCTCCTAGTAGAGTTTCGCTTTGTGCTACCAGAATTCCCTGAAATGCTCGCCAGTTATTTTCGGTAACAACCAGAACTCAAATATCAAATTCTTCAAATATCAAGAAATTCTATCAATTCGTTCAGTAGATATGGTGAAAAATGTAAAATCGGCCCGCAAATCAGTTTTCGACCCCTGATCTTTCCAAAAAAATTTATATGTTCATTGTTTTAATACGAGTATAATTATATACACGTATTAAAACAATGTATATTTGACCCGTAGTAAACGCTCAGTTGCAGAACCCTGATTTCTTCCAAAAGTTAGGAGGTTTCGCGGCCGGTAAAGCAAAACTTATATATGAAATTCCAAGTAAATCGGTTGAATATGTTCTTCAAAATGTTCAAAAATGTAAAACAGGCCCGCTCAAAAGTGCAGTTCCAGAGGCCTGATATATCCCAAAAGTTGATCAATCCGTGCCATGGTGGAAATAAACTTACATATAAAATTTCATCAAAATCGGTTCAGCCGAACTTGAGATATACGCGTGCACACACAGACCGACAAACCGACAGGTTGCTAAAAATAGTTTATTTACACTTCCCTACTATGGAGAAGTGTTTTACCACCGAAACTCGATATGCAAAATTTTTTGCCATCATATAACCTACGTATTGTATACACAATACGGTCGGTAAAAACAAATGCAAATATCTCACTAAATATAGTCTAACTTGAATTACATTTACTAAACAATGAATTTGAAGTTGTTGTTATTCATGTTCAAATGTTTACTTTTAATTGATTTGTTTTTTTTGTTATAATAATTTAATTTTATTAATTTTTTTATATATTCATGTATGAAAACAAGCGATAATAGACATACTTGTATTAAGTGAGCTAAGACAATTAATTAACATTTGAATATACCGTTAGTTTTCCACTTTCAAAAAAATTGCAAAATTTAATAATTTTAAAAAGTTGGTAGTTTGCCAATTTGAAAAAAGAACAAGATAGAGAAAATTTTTGTAATTTTCAATATAATAAGTTTTTAGTAAATTGTATTTTTAAACGACTTAAATTGGTTTTAGCCTAACAGGAAGGGAAATCGGTAAACAAATTTCT